AAATGCTTGCTCTCAAGCTATGTCTAATAAAAGTCTGTTTATTTTATCGGCCAGGGGGTCTGTTCTTGATTCCAGGAAATGCAAACGGCTCCACAAGGGCATGTCACCGGGAAAAATGACGCAATCTCCCCATTTCCTGCAGACAGGTAAGGGTGAAATGCTGTGCTTTACAGCCAGTTATACAAATACTATATACATCATCAGCTCACCACCTGTGCTGGAAGATGTATGAATACTTAAACAGGAAAATTTTTAACAGCTTTGAGCTGTCAAAATATGTTGCACTAGTTTAATTTATATTATTAAAACTGAGTCTCAGTCAAGTACTGGTCATATCTTTGTTGGTCTGTCAGACGTCCACCTCTTTGTTTGGCGGTATGGCTCTGTTCAGGGACCTCCCTGTCCTTCCATGTGCCCACAGCAGCACAGACCCCAGTGTCCAGAACAAAGCAGGCATAAAGGAGGAACTGGCGTGGAGGTAGGTAACGAAGCATCTTGCAGAGGAAGCAGGAAGGGTACGCGGGCTAAAGCAGTTCCAATAAAGCGTCTTGTATGGATGTTAAGAGGGGAATCGGCTGGCTACTATCGCCTGATCTGCTGGGATTGTGAGCTGAGCTCGACTTTGTTAACTGCCTGAACTGACACTACGCTCGATTTAGCACAAAGCGCCGCTGTGCTGACCCACAGAGCTGCTAGCAGGGCTGTAGACTCTTAGTTCTGTTTCACTTTTGATTTAGCAAGGCTTAAAGGTTTCCACCTGCTTCCAGTCTTTGTGCTAAGCTAGGCTAAACATATCCTGGATATCATTGTACAGCACACAGATAAAACTGGTATGTAACAAGGCACATCCATAGCATTTCAGTTCTTCATTTGACAATAACTTTAAATCTGCCATTAAGAGGATCATTTACTGTTCTTTTCCAGCAACTGATTCAAGGTGAAACCAATAGTGTGGAGTAAAGACTCACGGCCATGGATGAGTTAAGAGGATGGCAGCTTTTCGGTTAGAGGTGGCACCTCCCTTTGACCTCCAGATCAAGGGGCCTTGAGTAAAGGGCTGTAAAATCAATACCCACACCTGATTGGTCCCTATCTGATTGAATCTTGTGACATACAATGATAAATGACTTCCTTTCAGATGAAGGGTCAGAGGTCATCTGTGTTAACAGCGTCCCAGTAAGTAAGTAGACAAAAAGATGTTTTCAAGGTTTGTGTGGGATGGAGACAAGAAGAAAATGAGTTCTATCAGCTTCAGAAAATCATATTTTATCAGTGATCTGAGATACCAGACATTAAAGTTTTAAAAAAGCAAAGTGCTGCTTCTTCAGTTATATCACTGCCAGTGCAGCGTGTCGCTGACACCAGAAAGCATGAAATGTGTTATTGATCTGAGTGCCCCTCTGACACAGAAATGTGAGGACAGCTGAGGATCTGCTGCCGGTGAATCCACTCATGAACTGGTCAAGTGAGGAAAAGCAATAACTCTGTGTGACGATGAATTACGGCATGAAAGTGAGTCATGGGTTTGAGTTTTTCTTTCATGTTGTATTCATCACATGATTTACTGTACAGTCAGTTCATCACTGAACAGAGAGAACCTGGAGTTCATGGTTTAGTTTTGGACGTGTCACACAAACATCAATGAAAACGTCACACTATTTAGTTTGAGAACAAAACATCATGGTTTTCCTCAATGACTTATGATCTGCTAGGATTAAATGTGCTCATTTTTGCTTAAAGTAAGTGGATTAATACAGTATTACCTACTACTGCAGTACACAGTATTTGCTGTGTGTTCGAGGTTCGAAGGTAGGTAGGTTACAGAGTTACAAATCTCAATATTACTCTGTAACCTACCTGAGTAATATTGAGATTTGTAACTCCCTTCTGCTACAGAGCAGACAATATACATTAATACAGAATCAATTGTTTAAAATGGTAAACAGAAATAAACTATAATCAGTGAAGCAGTGCTGAGGATGAATTAGAGTTTAAGAGTCTGATAGTGTCTGATAGTCTCTGCAGTCTGGTGGTCTCTTCCCAGAAGGCAGCAGGGTGAACAGGCTGTGGCTGGGTGGGTCTTTTAGTGTCCTTTGGGCTCTGCATAGGCACCTCACCAGTATCACTGACGCTCGGGAGACGGGTAGCAATAGTCTTCTGAGCAGTTTTAATCACCCGCTGCAGAGCCCTCCGGTCCTGGGCCGTGCACATCCCATGCCAGTTTCTGATGATTCCAGTCAGGATGCTTTCTGTTGCTCCTCTGTAAAAGCTGACAAGAACTTGGCGTGGGAAGATATCAAGATGGTTTCTTTATCATTATACAACACAAGGTTGTACAACAAAGTTAAAGTTTGTATTCCCTTCATGCTACACATTTATAAACATATATACAGTACATACATGTATACTCATAACATACTGATACTCCATCAGACAAAGTTAAAATAGTTAATGATGAACAATTTTAAAGATTATTCTAATTCAAGACATGTAGACATCAGCAGGTTTATATTGGGGTTGTATTTGTTGCAGTTGTTAAAAACAATTTAATCCACTTATATTAAAAATAGATCAAATGAATGTGTAGGGTTCACTCATAGTGACAAACTATCACCTGACTGTAGTTTTCCTCATCTAAAGGAGCGTTTTAGCGTCTTTTAGCTCATTGTTTTAATTTTACAGCTTTATATCAAACCAGCTCTGATAATCCCACTGAACAAGACCTGCTCATCACCAAACAGCAGGCAGACACAGTTAAAAACTAGCTGGTGAACATAGTGGAGCATTTAGCCCCCCCGTTCTCATCGCAATGGACCCTTGGTGCCACTTTTTAACGCCCTGGACTCTTTAGCATCATTTTTTCACATGTAGTGTTCTAGTGTCAAATTAGCGAAAACAAATATGCAACGTCCAGTTAGACTTTCAAAATCAAACAAGTGGTCAACGTTGTGAAACGTTACAATATGGTTAGGTTAACGAAAGGATCAAGGTTTGGATTAAAATAGCTACGTTACTTAAGTGACTTAAATTAAGTACGTTAAGTAATGTAACAGACGTACTTTAGATAACTTACGTAACATTACTAAAAAGAATAATGCTCACTTTTTGTTTCACGTGGGAAACAAACACCGGTCTCCTGGGTGAAAGCCCAGTTTCTGACCCACCCAACCAAATCCTTACCCAGACGTTCATGTTGTTTACACTTTGTATTCTTTTAGCATTGGTCCATTACGCTAAGGGGTGCCATGTGCGTTGGTACCAGATGCCGAAGTACTTTACAAAGTGAAGCTATTTCACGATATGGGAATGAGAATGGATTTAGCAGCTAAAGACCAGATATTTCACTCAGGAGGTGGTGAGGACCAAATCAGAGCTTTAACTCCTGTAACGTTCACCCTGCTTCACCTCTGTGGGCTCTGCCCCACATCATCTCCTGCAGTGAGTCAGAAATGAGAACAAGGACAGATTACACACAGTATGCTACAGTATTTGGGATTACTGATATTTCTCTCAGTGGCTCTGATGTAATACAAACTGGGTCACAGCTCAGGGACACAGATACAGTAGAGTTTGGTTTGAGTTTGAGTTCAAGTCTTTGACAGATTAAATTTTGTGCCCGCAGATCTTTATTTAATATTTAGCACACATTATCCACACATTACAAGCATTTTATTCTTTACTTGTTCTCACAAGCCCCAGAAATAGCTTTGAGATCTTCACATTTAGCTTACCATTGTCATCAGTCATCATACAGTACACTGCATAAATCTTTTAAGAAACGGTCCGAAGCTTTGACTCAAGAGTCAAAATACTCAGAGTAGAAAGACATTTTGTGACAAGTGTGATTCTTCAAAGCTGAAAATTAAGACAAACAATCATGTCTACCCAAAATGCACTTCTTTGAGCACTGACTCAGCCAATAACTAGCCTCCAAATGTGATGTGTCATTACTGCTTATTATTTATCACAGCGTCACGCACACACCTTTGTCATCATTAAAATGGCAAACCACCATTTGTTGTATCCAACATTATAAATCTTTGATATACTAAAACGTGCAAGAGGACAGGTTATAAAATGTACTTCCTGTAGTCATGTTGACACTATTAAAAAATTTAATTTGGGATTTTAATGACTAAAATCTTAAATGAGTTAAAGAAGGATGTAGTAACCATTTTAAGTGATGCTTATCTGTGGAGGTCCTATAAGATGTGTGTATGTGGATCAATAGCAGCAGTATTCACAAAAATATGTAAGAAACAACATTAGCCACATATAGCTGAGAAACCTTGGTTAAAATTTGCATGGGGCAGAGCTGACATTAAAATCTAAAGCCAGGCCACTGTCCACAAACAAACAACTTACTGATTATTTAATTTTTTTAGAGCCTCAGCAGAAGCTAAGAAGAGATACAGTTTGCCTTGAGGCTGGCGATAAAGCAAAGGTCTTGAGGTCATTCAAATCAAAAGTTGGGGGTCGCTTAAGTCAGTCATGTTAATTTTCTAGGAAACATGAATAACACATACCACGGCAATCTGGCCAATAGTTGTTGAGATTTCTTACTCCACCGCTTGGACAATACTGCCTGAACTACATGTGATTTTAAATAAAGGAAAAGATCACTGCAATAAAACTATTTGGAAGACCTAGAATAAATAAACTTTAAATGGCTTACAAAACTTTATGTATTATAAAGAACAGGCAGGATTATGGTGATGGCGCAATGGATAAGACATGTACCTTTGGTGTGAGAGACCTGGGTTCAGTTCCCCACTGTGACCCATCTACCATTGTGTTCCTGAGCAAGACACTTAACCCCTAGTTGCTCCAGAGGCGTGTGACCTCTGACATGTATAGCAATTGTAAGTCGCTTTGGATAAAAGCGTCAGATAAATGTAAAAACACTTCATCTTAAAAAGGAAATCAGATATCCTTTAACATCTTCAGCTGTTCTGTCTTCTGATCAAAGTGAAACTTATTTTGAAGAAACAATGACTGAATTATGAATGTAATGCAATGAGTGAGTTTATTTTGAGCTCATATGATGCAGCAGGAAATCCAAACCAACAAGCACGTTTGTCCAACAAGCATTCAGAAGAAACAGAACAAGTGTTTTCTCACCAGCTCAGCCGTGCTGTAAGATATCACTCAGCATGTGTAGCTGAACTCGCCAGGAGCTAAAACAACAACAACAACAACAACAACAAGGAACGAGGAAATCTTTCAAACAAAATGATTTGAAATGTTTGTCAAGATACAATGTTACTGGGGGGGTCACACTGTAGAAAAAATCATCCTTTATCAGGAAACCGTGGCTGTGTTTGAAACCACTACACACCTGAGTGTGCAATTTAATGTAATGGGATGGATACAATCCCACAATGTATTTTACAGATAGAGAAAAATTCACCTTTCAGCAAAATATGCTTCTGAAATCTCAGTTTACTGCTTACTTTACTATTCAGTGTCGAGTGTGACGAAATCAAGTGAGTGATTTCAGACACAGCAGGTGTGTGGATTTCTAAAACAAGTGTCTATGTTACCAGTGTCTGTACACCAATTACACTGATTAGAAAACCGTCACAGGAAAACAACATTTATTTGGAGTGCTGGATCCTGGCAACACACTGAGTGCAGCTCTGACATCTTTTTATATAATGTGTGTTTTTATTTAGTTTTTATTTTATGTATGAGTGTCATCTTTTATTTACAGTATATTTTAGACGTTTTATCTTATACTGTATTGTATATGTTCAACCCGTTCTCATCACAGGGCATCACATATGGATGCTTAGTCAAGACCCATTGGCATCATTTTTTTACGCCCTGGGTAAGCTTTAATGAAAAAAATATGTGTCCGGTTAGACTTTCAAATTAAAACTAGTGGTTAACATTGTGAAACGTAGCGATTTGGTTAGTTTTAGGCAACAAAACTACTTGGTTAGGTTTAGGAAAACATTGTGGTTTGGGTCAAAATACGTTACTCACGTGGTTTTACTCACGTGGTTTTACTCACGTGGCTTTACTCACGTGGCTTTACTCACGTGGCTTTACTCACGTGGTTTTACTCACGTGGCTTTACTCACGTGGTTTTACTCACGTGGCTTTACTCACGTGGCTTTACTCACGTGGCTTTACTCACGTGGTTTTACTCACGTGGCTTTACTCACGTGGCTTTACTCACGTGGCTTTACTCACGTGGTTTTACTCACGTGGTTTTACTCACGTGGCTTTGCTTATGTAAGTTATGTAAAAACGCTAAAAAGAGTCAATGTTGACTTTTTGTTTTACACAGAAAACAAATACTGGCCTCCTCTGTGAAAGTCCGGTTTCTGACCCACCTGACGACCTAGACCACCTCCTTACTTGGACTTTTCTGTTACTTATAATAGGCCTACTTTTAGCGTTGGATAATGACGCTAAAAGGTGCCATGTGCGTTGGTGTCGGACGCCAAAGGACCTGACAAAGTGCCGCTATTTGACGCCCTGGGAATGAGAACGGGCCGATATTTTAATTTTTTTTTTATTTTTGTGCTTGGTAAAAGAATTTCATTGCATGGAACATGATAATTATGGAATTAAAGAAAGATTAGAGATGTAAGACAGCCGTGAGAAGAAGCAAACATCAGGATGGAGGAAGCACACCATTGGTTGATTAGGAGGGAGTGGGGGGTTTTTTCCTTATCAGCCTCCTCCCATTCTGTTTGGGGCCGGGGCCCGGAGCGGGACCAGGTGCCAGATCGGTGGCCGGGCCAGTGTTGGCGTTGTTGGCGTTGTTGGCATTGTTGGCGCGGCTGGCCTTGACCTCGTCAATGAAAGTTTCTATGGCGGTGAACTTCTCGGTCAGATCGCCCAGGCGGGATTTGAGGGCGTTGAACTCCTTGTAGAGGTCGTCTAAGGCCTCAGACAGCGGCTGGATTCTGAACAGGAACACAGAGAGTAGTTAGTTCTTGCACAACTTGCCCTCTGTAAATTTCAAACAGGAGAATTCAGACCACATTTAAATTCAGATATATGTTGTTTTTTTGTAATTCAGTAGTATTGAAATGTCAACATGAGGTTTTCAGTACTGATTAAATTTCACAATTGTGGAAGATATAATGTATGAAGAGCCAGTATGGCGAGGGCGGACTAGCCGTTGGGAGTACCGGGGGTTTTCCTGGTGGGCAGCTGAACAAATGGGCCGATAAACCACATAGTATTAAAACCGAGACAAAAAAACTGCAGTTGAAAATCAATTTGTGTATGGCTTGATTGACTGGCTCATAGTGTGTGGTTACTGGACCAGACAGGGGTGGGGGCGGGGCCATTTTAACATGTCTGGTTATGTCAATCGCACACGCCACATCAGAACATAATAAAACAACTGCTCCCAAACTTGCCTAATGGTAAGAATAGTTATAAAGTTAAATTAACATCCTAACATTACGTACTAATATTGAATTTTCCATTTATATATTTTACTGAGAGTGTTATGTTTTAGTGGTATACTAACATAATCTCCTAATCCTAATGTCTCATCTAGGCTGAGGTGTGAATGAGTTTCTGCAGCGATAACCAAAGTCGCAAGCTTTGTGTATTGGTAATTTCACCTTTTTTTTGGTGCAGATAGAAATTGTTATTCAATTTATATTGAAATATCCTGTAGAGTGTTTTTTTTAATGCACTCTAGTGGTTGATTCTGGGTACAGTATTGTTTTTTTCCATGTGTCTAGCATGGCTCCAGCAAATTTGTGGGTCCAAATTTTGTTGCATCAATAATCTATTAACATTTAAAACACAGATGCATGGTCCGGACAGCCACTAGGCTTGTATGTGTCATTCATTTTTTGTACTCAAGGGATCAGCTGAGGTACTTGAGGAGAGCCAGGTAGGTGTTTCTAGTTTTGAAAATGCATTTTAATGGCTCATTTTGTGATGCACTGAATAAAATGCTTCGTCCCAGTCCGCCCCTGCAGTATGGGGAGGAGACAGCTTAGTTTAGTGGGAATTTAGTTCAGTAACTTTTGTCAGAACTGACAGAGCAGACGTTTTTGTCCTCCTGTGTGTTTTGAATGAGCAGAATATTCCACATGAGTGAAATAAAACAGTCTGGGTATTGAGGGTCCCCACAGGAATTTGGTTTATGCTTCGGGCTGAAAATAAAGTCAGAGTTGGTTGGGTGCACTCTGAGGCCGACGCCGTCATAAGAAACTGCAGCTGAAATTGCAGTTTTAAAAAAGTCAAAATAGAAACGTGCTGTTGTGCAGAAACAGGCTCGAGTTCTCCACAAGGAAGTCGGGTGTTTCCCGCATCTCGCCGCAGTTTAGAGGACGAGACATCATTATGGTCCAGTAGTTACTTAAACAGTAGTGTAGTGGCCATGTGTGAGCTAAATGCTCTGCCTTATTTTCTTTTCTGCTCAGTTTAAATGTTTCTGTTTCCTCACTTTTTCCATTTTTGTCCTTTTCTGCTTCATAGTCATCGAGTCTTGCTCCAATATATTTTAAATTACAATGCTATAATGAAACACATCAATCAGGTTTAAGAGAAAAGTAAATTAATTAACAGTTTTGTAATAGAAATGTATGCTCTCATCTTACACAGTGTGATCTTTTGTCCTGCTTCTCATGTGAAAACTAATAGAGGTGAAATGTTACTGTTTGTCTCAGAGGGATGTGACGCATGAAGCTGTATGTATAAATACGATCATTAAATCCACAGATACAGTATCTCTCAGCCCAACAAGCTGGGAGGTCCATTTGCAAACGACATTACAATAAACTCTTGCAGGACAGTTCTCTCTTTGTGAAATCCAGCTCTATTAAGGAAAATATTCAGACCGCTGTTGGTATTTAAGAAAAGTCTAAAAGTTTCATTAAAGGACTGATCAATGCAACAAGATTTTACATATGCAACTACTTATTGAGTCTTGGGTCAAACCAAAAGCTTTCTGCAAACGTCTCAGCCAAGCTTCAAAACCAAAATTACATCTGTGAGCATGGCAGCTAGACTACAGTCTGGATGTTTAGTCCCAGAGGATAAAAAAGAAATCAACCCACAATTCCATGACAATCTGCTGATAAAGATTACTGTATGTGAAATGATTGAAAGTGGATCTTATAGTGAGATTATTTAGTTTAACTGCTGTTAAAGAATGAATCTCAACCTGCCAGAAGGTTAACAGAACTGTTTACGTGGTGACCTGGTGTGCAAAAATGTACAACTCATCCCACTAATAACCTCTGACACAGTTCAAAGTCTTGCCCTCTCTCTCCCTCCGTACCTGGCGTAGTCGGGCAGGAGAGACTGGTGGTCGTTCTGCAGAAGTCCTTTCATCTGGTTCAGGATGTCGAACCTCCAGTTGTCCAGAACCTCAGTCAGGTTGGACACGCCGCGCATGCTCACCTTCTCGGCTGGGACAGAAAATCACAATTAAAACACATCCAAAAGTTCACGCACAACTGATGAGGAGTGTTCGGTCAGGTGACACATTGTTAGGCACAAGAGACTCATAACTGAAAAAGGACAACAAAATGATGAGCGATGCCTCTCACTTTTAGGGACCCTACTCTCTTCCATTGGCACAAAGAACTGCAGTTGGACCTTATTGATCACAGGACGTGTAGCCTGACTTAGCGCAAAGACTCAAGGCAGCGAGAAACTGCTAGGTCGGGAGCATTTTTGTCAAACAATCTGACTGGTCATTGTTGTATATTAGTGGTCTGCGCCTTCTCCTGTCTTCTTGTGTCTGCCTTAGGAGAGCAATAAAGCTCAAAATTAAAAGACAGATTCATTCACACGTTTACAGACAGCTTTGCTCTGAGCAGCGTGATCTTTCACCTCTAGCTTTGACATCATCATGATGAGACCTGAATTTGACCTTTGACCCAGAATAAACAGAGACTAATCTGGGTGCTCACAGCCATCCCTGTAGTTCCACTCGCCAGTGGTCGACTGGCGTCGCCTCTGGGCCAGAACCGTTACTGTGGCGACGGCCAGTAACAGCAGCAGCACGCTCAGTTTGGTGGCCATGATCACACCAGCACCTGGGGGAAGAAAACCCCATGAAATTAGTATTTTAAACACAGAGCGATTCATTTCCTTCATTGTTTTTTTCTTTTTAACAATGGAAAAAATGAGGACCTAAAAAGTTCCTCTCAGGAACTTTCATGGAGCATTTTATTGTCTTTCAGCACATTGTTTTGGTTTTGTAACCTGCAACTTTGATTTGCTCGCACCAGTCGGATCAATGCCACTTCCAACGACATGCAGCGGGCCTCATCAAATACTGAAGCTTTGAGAAAACCTGACAAAGCTTCGGTATTTGATTCAAATACGCTTTGTCAGGATTTCTCAAAGCGTCAGTTTTTTACGCCCCTGTAATAAGGATGTGTTGAGCAGCAGGCAGCAGTTTTCATCAAACAATCTCTGTACATTATCTGCCCAGCATCAACAAACACATTTAGAGACTAGCTGGTGAAGAAAGTGGAGCATCCAGAGCCAGAAGCTGGTGGAGAGACCAAAGCAGAGCTAGAAGGAGAGTGAATACATTTATCGGGTGGACACAAATGCAACTCCAAACAAATGCTAATGTTTCTCTATATGTCTGCTGAATGAGTAAATAACTAACTGCAGGATCATGACTACTATGGTGAGACCCTTCTTAAAGAAATATCATTTTCACCATCATCTTTGAACATCTTTAACTATTTTAATCTCCCTTTTTTGTTTTTCAGTTCTGAGCCAGGATTTTAGTTCCATTGCTTTTACTTGCACCACACATCTGGAACAAATGTCCACAAGTTTTTCAGCTATTTTAAATCATAGATCTCAGTTTTCCAACTGCATTTAATTCAATTCGGGACCATTCATTCAGGTCTTGCACTGCAGTATGACTCATTTTTGCCTAGAATTTTATTTAGCTATTTTTGACTCCTATTTAAATTATTTTTTTATGTTTTATTGTGTTTCATTTATGTCTTGACTTGATACGTTAAAATGTCTTAAGTAAAGAATTTTTAATTACCTTGACCGTGAAATGTGCTCTACGAATTAACAAAACTTGCCTTTGCTCGTCTAGTTTAATCCACTTTTTTTCATTTTTTGTAAAGCACTTGTATTTACATCTTGCACAAACCGTACTATGTAAAAATTGATTGTTTTACTGACTAATTGATTGATTTCAGAAATGATTGCCACCATGTGAGCCCAAAGTAGGCACTGTTCCAGTTCAGTTATGTAACTTGCAAACCACTAATGTTTCTGCATGCCTTGCTCTTCATCAAGTCAAACGACTCGGAAGCAGAGTGAGTATATATGTTTAGTTATTTGCACTTCATCAATACATTAGTATAATTAAATCATGTATCCAAGCACCATTTTTTGTATTCAGTCTTAATGAATCTCGTCTTCTGTGCTTGAAGTGCCTTATGTCCTCTCTGTGTGGCAGTCTGTATTTAAGTCCATACATTTTGTCCTGTACAGCCTGAGTCAGCATGCTGCCAGGATTACACTATTCCTCAATGTTAAACCTTGTATGGCTTTGCTTCCACTGTGGCTATCACTCCTAATAAAGCAGAGAAAAGGGGAAATCTAACTTTTCAGAGTACAAACTTCTAAGTCTTCCAGGCGTGTCAAACGGTGGAACAGGAGAAGAAGCCCTGAGGCTAAACTCTCAGCTCCTGCAGTCAGCTCACATTAAGGAATGAGTCCGAGCAGCAGTCAGAGAGCTGATAGACAAAACTGAACTGACAGAGAGGCTTGGAAAAGTGGAGGGCGAGCTGCAGAGACATGTCGAGTACAACCTCAGCAATTTCATATTTGCTTCAGTGATACACACACACACACACACACCTACAATAATACACAGAGGCTCTAGTAGACTATACAGTTACTCATCTTAGACATGTGTCAATTTCCCATATTTGAGACATGCTGGTCAGCTCCAGCTTGGAACTGAGTGTGAGAAAAGAAGATATAAAGTAGTAGTCTTTCTTCTGATTGTCTTAAAGATGTAGTTTTGTCATTAAAGGCAAAAAGTCGCTGTGGTCAGCTTAGTTCAGTGGTCGGCAATAGGCGGCCCGCGGGCCAGAGCCGGCCCGCCAGCAATACTATCTGGCCCATGGCCTGATTGCTTTGATAGCAGAAAAATAAAAAAAATAAAACATTGATAGCGGCTGGTGCTGAAATAGATCTCAGTCATGACAGCTACAGTTACTCACATAATCACCTCCTCTTAAGTGACTGTTCCTCTAAAGTAAAAGTGCACAAGAACATATTTTGCAGCAATGCGTCATGTCGAGTTTATTAAGAGCTTTTACTTTGAAGAGTTCTAAAGGACAATTCAAAAGAGTATCTGGCCTTCTTGACACACCTCTGAAAAAGCTGTCAGTAAACGTGTGATTGGATTCCCCTGAATGAAAATAAGCCTCCGTAGGTTTATGAATGCAGATCAAACGCTGGAGCGCGCGCACACACTGCAGCACATGCTTTATTGTGAGCCTGTGCAAAAGTTTCCCTTGATTCAATTTGTTTAACAAGGGAGAAAGAAATATCTGCAATAAGATGGAATTAATCTTACAATCTACCCGTCAGGAGTCCCGCACAGTACCAACTGAGCTAAACGTGCACATGATTTCATATGGTTTGACTTTGTTCTGGCCCGCCATATAACGGCTTGGAGAAATTGTCCCGATGCCAAACTTATTTGCTGACCCCTGGCTTATTTTCTGTCATTTATGATGAAAAATATGGACTCGGGGAGGCTTGTGAAGCGTTCAGTGTTACAACATCTAACTCAGCAAAAAGAAAACACTGCAACTAAGGAATGCAAGGCACAAACACCTACAAACAAAAGACAGAAAGTGTTCATTCATGGACAAATAAATGTTAAGCTTAATGTTAATGTTTTTTATTTGTATAAAAAATTTTAAATAATGATAATAAAGTACCCCGCGACCCCATACGCGGGATAAGCAGTTGTCGATGGATAATAAAGTAAAGACAAGCACATTTTATAATCCTTGGCCAAATGTACAAATTCTTTACACAAAATGTTTTTCTACACACCGTCTTTAAAACTTGAGATGAACATAAGTTAATAAAAGTTTTAAAGTGACATTCTCAGCAGGGTACATGAGAGTCTCCTTGAATAAAGTCACTAAGACAAGGAGGCAGAAAGTATCACATACTTTTCATCTGTATAATTAGTAATATCCAAACATTTTATTTTAGCTAAAATATATTATAAATAAGTTTCAAAGCTCCAGAGGATTTGGCCTGATTGTGGTATCATATTACAATTATGTAAATGAAAAATGCAATGTGTGTGTGTGTGTGTGTGTATCTTCTACCTCTGAGCCTTAAAACAGCATGAATACATAAGCACTGTTGTTTATTCTGAATCGGTCCCACATACCCCGTCCTGCAGCCTCAAATACTCACTAGAGCACCACATGTGGATTCATCCGCTGCTGAAAATAGTCCCCAACAAATGCACTTTTTCCTCCTGTTTATTTGATGAAAACTAGAGTGAGCAGCTGCTTTAAGAAATTACTAAAAACTTTAATAATTAAATATGTGTGAAGACTGAAGATTTATGTCTTAAGTAGGAACCAATGAGCTTGGAGATGAGAGCCACAGACAGGAAGTATCGAGAGTTGGACTGACATGTTGTTGGTTTGGTCTTTTCATGGAATTTGTTGGCAAAATTAAAAAATATAGTATTGCCAGCCTGATATATATATATACTGGGAACACCTAGATGATGTTGGTGTCATCACTTACCTCATCACTTAATGACAAATGAACCATCTCCCAAAAACTTGCTGTTTTCAATTAAACCACACAAAAACACCTTCTGTCTCTGGTACACACACAATCACATAAACACATGTGCTTCTCCTCTGTACGTTTTCTCTAAAGGATCTGCAGTTTTTTTAAGCAACCAAAATCTCATCAGCTCTAACCAGAGTCATTCAGTATTTAAACAGCAGATGTCTTATTCAAATTAATGCACATGCAACATCATTAAAGAGTCCCATTCAGTTTAATCTCAAGCATGCATTATAGTTACTGTGCTTGTCTTTTTATGCAGCGTGAATACATATTTTCTTGCGAAGCAGCAACTAGTGCTCAGAGAGAAGACGTAGTGTTTGAGAGTTTATTTATAACTCTTTTGTAGGAAAATCAATTTTAAAATAAAATATAAATACAAATGTGTAAATAAAATCTCTGCACATACCTGTGTAAACACAGTACATACCTGTTGTTGTTCAGCTCCTCTACTGCAAGGCTTCCCAGAAGTCCCAACAGAAGGCAGTGACAGGACGGATAGACGGAGAGAGTGAACACACACCCCTGCTGCACACAAGCATGCATCCACATGCGTAGACACACTCACGAAAAAAAAACACACTTTCCCTTTCAAACACACACGTACAGACAGACACACACAGGATCTACCCTTTCCACCATCATTATGGAGGCCTAGCGGTCAGCACAGTGTGGTTTGGGTTTGAGGCAAGGCTCCAGCACCTTGGTTGGTTTCCTATGTTTTGACCACAGTGTGTGTGTGTGTGTGTGTGTGTGTGTGTGTGTGTGTGTGTGTGTGTGTGTGAGACTGTTGGATGAAGTTACATCCTGGATCCTTTAAATATGAGATCATTGGTGGATTTTACCAGTCTGCGCTTGTGCTCTGAGCTCTAAAAGAAAGAAAGAAAACCATTATGAATTTGAATAAAGACAAAATATAAAATTGTGGAATTGAATTGAATTCAATTAATTTTTAAAACTTGTCTCATTATTATTAAATACTATTTAATTATGCTTGCTTTCACAAAATGTCATTTTCCCACACTGTTTTAAATACACAATGTCTGTATTTATTTCACATTGTCATTTTTTACGATTATTTATTTAATAAAGCCACTTGGCTGTCGGCTCATTCAGACTGAGGCAATCGCCTCGGACAATCACCGTCTTGCTTTAATAGATAAAGACTGTCTCATAAAGTGTCAAATACAGTAATGATAATAATTAAAATGTACAAGAATTTAGTAAAACATGCCTGCAATAAACTTCAAAATAAAACAATAATTGTTAGGATACACAAAAACAACATTTCCATCCATCCATCGTCAACCGCTTATCCTGCATACAGGGTCACGGGGCAAAAACAACATTTATTATGAGGAACTAAGTTTTGTTATTTCTTAATTTAATGATATTATGTATATTGTCTGTAGTTCTGTAGGCCTACAATTAGTTATTACATGATGTCTTATTTATTTATTTATTTAACATTTAACTGTCACACTGCCTGTCTGACCTGTTTAGTTATCCGCCGTTTCTGTTTTTCAGTCCGTTGTATTTTGGTCTCGTTCTTTCTGCTTGTGTTCTTGTTTAGTTTGTTATATTCATTACTCTGATCTGTTCTGTCATATTTTGATGTAATCTGTACCTGTCTTGGTTGATTCTGTTTCCGCCTGGTTATTGTTATTAGTTTCCGTATTGTCTTGATTGGTTTCTGTCTGTTAGATGTCAGTTTGTGTTCCCTGCCTGTTTCATTATTCATTTGGTCATGATCATTCTGTGTTAGCCTGTTCGGTTCTGTTCAGTTATCTTAGTCTTTTCGGTCTTGTGGAGTTGCCTGTGTTTCTCAGTTACTTGGTCTGTCTTGTCTATTCTGGGTTTTGAATTCCAGTTAGAGTCTTGTCTTGTTTTTTGCAACCTGTTAGTATCAGTTTCCCCTTGTCATGAGGCTACCCCATGCCTTCATTTAAGCCAGCAGTAGTATTGCTCTTAGCATGCTAAGCTAACCTTAGCTGAGCATTAGCATAGGACGTTTACCTTTAGCATATGGGCTAGCACCAATGGACACATGGCTTGACGTTTCATGTCAGTTCATTTAAGTACTAGTCGGAAGAGTTGAAATCATGGTTAGATAGATACAACACATACACAGCTCATTTCAAGTCATTTATTTTAGCTTATTGGATTTACACAAGGTCAACCAAATGTTTGTACGTTTTATTCACCTGTTCTCATCCTCAAGCAGGGATCTGGGCCGAAGGGGCAAACAGGAAGTGATGGAGTGTGGAGTCATTTAGACCTGGAATGGTCCCAGTGTGAGCCAGTACAGACGGGTGTACTGGAGTACCTTAAAGTGGCTGTTTGGAGAAGCTTTTGGTTTAGCATGTAACATTTCATTTCTGGTTTTATAGTTGATGTGCTGTGTATTAATGTAGCCAGAGATGTGTTGGACTGTTGAGGTAACATAATGGTGTTTAATTGATTGTCAATTAACTTTGGTTTGTCTTGTAAGAGGGGCTTCTGGTATAAAGGAAGGAGGCAGAGGTTCCCTAGAGAGAACAGCTTTGGCCTGGAAGGGCACATGTGCTAGAGCCCATAGTCAGGGCCTGATATAGGGTTTTTTTTTGGTGTTGTGTAACATCAGTGTTTAATGATAATTTGAATAGTTTATATTTGTTTGTTTTTGTTAATTTTTGATATATTTTTGCAATAATTCACTTGCGCAACTGCACTTTCCACGTATCTGGTGAAAAAATAAATTGAAGCACCAGGTGAAGAACTCCATGTCCATGTCTCCTCCTTCCACCATGGGGCTAAACATTACACCCCTGCTGTGTCTCTGCCTGCCTGTGTCTCGTCAATCTCTGTCAGTTGTGTTGCTCCCACCCTGCACATTAATCCCAGTGTATATATGCTTGCTTGTTTCTTTGGTCTTTGTCTGGTCATAGTTTGCTGTTGCTCTGTCTCATGTGGTGTGTAACCTGTCATGTTCTGTCTCGTTGTGCCTCTCCTGTTCCCATGATTTCTGGATTATTTACCCCTCTTGGATTTGTTGTTGTATCGCCTGGTTTGTTTGAACTGTTAGGGTTATTATTATGGATTACTTGGACACAGCCACTCATCGTAAGTGTGCTCGCCTTTCGTTGATTAAACCTTATGAAATACTAGTCTATTTCAATTACTTTAAATTTTCTACATTTATAATGAAAGTTTAAACACTTTCAGACGGGTGGGGCTGCAAAATAAAACATGTGAACCAGTCAGAAGCATCAGAACAGCATCAAACTTTACTAAACAGCTGTGGCTGGAATTATTATTCAACATTTAACTGAGCTTTTTATAGAAAATATTCAGATGTAACCTATAATTTAATCATGAACATTTTCATAAATAAGCTAAACTACTGCATTTCTTGAGGAAGCTTAAGAAGGCCAAGTTCCCATGCCAAGCTTTTACAGAGGACCAATAGAAAGCATCCTGACTGGAAACATCACTAACATGGGATGTGCACGGCCCTAGACCGGAGGGCTCTGCAGCGGGTGATTAAAGCTGCTCAGAAGATCATTGGTGATATCGGTGAGGTGAGGTGCCTGCAGAGCCCACTAAAGGACAGTACCCACCCAGCCACAGCCTGTTCCCCCTGCTGCCTTATAGGAAGAGATATAGAGGTTTCTGCACCATCAGACTGCAGAGGAGCTTTTTCTCCAGGCTGTGAGACTTTTAAACTCAAATTCATCCTCAGCACTGCTCCATTGACTATATTTTATTTCTGCCTACCATTTTTATGATTGCTTTTATATAACTGTATATTGTCTGCTACGCATAAGGGAGTTCCAAACTTAATTTCACATTACAACCTGTTGTATTGTGAGAAATAAAACCTACCATCTTGTATCCACCTTGTACCTTTGTATAAGTAATTTAATTGCTTTTTTTCAGTGTTCATTTATCTTGTAATTTAATTACATGTAACTAGTTACTCCTCAACACAGGTGAACAATAACAATTGAATTAAAACATCAAGTGTAGATGGTGGGCGGAACCTTCCTCCTCGGTGATTGGCTGTTACACATGTTTTTTTTTTCCCTATTTCCGGTCTATTCTGTTGCTAAGTAACATCTCCTATCCACTGAGCGTAAGCTAGCTAGATGCTATATTTATTTAAGAGTTCGGGAATAACGCAACGTTTCAAGTAATTTGTCGTCGGTTAAAACTCCTCACTTGAAGCCATGACAGCTATAAAAGACGGGGAGTACACGGCCACAATCTACAAACTGGTGAGAGTGTTGTTGTTTTAGTTGAGAGGTTAGCTTCAACGCTAACGTCGACACAGCAGGGTAACGCTCAGCCAAACTCCATTCACAAATCTATCAATTCTGTCTTTTATGCTTACTGACAAACATACACACCACTAACAACACATATCCGGAGTTGTGAGGGACTGCAGGTAAATTCGGCATACATTTATTTGCAACTACGTGGTAATGTGTGTGCTTGTGCCTGTGAAATAACATTATTGTTTACGTTATCTGTGCTGTAACGTTAACGTTGCTGCACCGTTAAATTGAAGTTTTTTGTTAAGTGATGCTTTCACGGCAAGGTCAAATAAATCCAGACCCAGCTTAGGGATATACAGTCGTTCAGCCGCGTTTCTTCCCTGCTAGATTGTTAAACAGTGTTTAAAAGAAACGCAGTGTGTATAAAGACCATCACGGTTCATTTTCATCTGTATTTTAGATTAAAGACGGACAGTATGTGGACGCAATCCACATCCTAAATGGCCAACTTCAAAAACACACGAAGGTAAGTGTGGAATAAAGTATTGTTCATTTGTAAAATATACTGTAAAGTTAAAGTAGGGTATGTGTTTTTGGAGATGTCTGCGGGTCTTTTTATACAGCTGGTTTTAAAAATATTGGGCCTAAAAAGTTATTAAATTGTCTTGAATTTTAATTCATTGTATGGTGATGAACTAGAGCTGATATGATTCATCAATTAATCGATTAGTCTGTTGACAGAAAATTAATCAGCAACTATTTTGATAGGCGATTCATTGCTTCAGTTATTTTTCAAGCAAAAATAACAAGAGCTGGCGAAAACACGTGTTTTTATTGTCAGTTAATGTGCTGATAATAATCATTAGGTTTATAAAATGTCAAAAATGTGTGAAAAAACGCACATCACAACCTCCCAAAGCCTAAAGTGAAGTCTTAAAAAAGTTCAACAGCAACAGAGAAAAAGTTCAGAATCCAAAGGTTTTCAGTTTATGATATAATCCTCCACTTTCAGCAGCGGGAACCTGAAATATTTTAGCATTTTTTCCGCACTATTTTTGAACAAAATATGAGGAATTTATTCACAGGTTCCAGTTTTTCAAATGCAAGATTTGCAGCTTTTTTTTTTAAACTGTAAATTAAATATATATTTGAGTTCTAAACTGTAAAGGTTGAACAAAACAAGCAATTACAAGATGCCACGTTTGTTGGGCTATGAGAAAGTTTGAGTATAAGAAATGAAGTATTTTTTAAAGATATTTAATTGTAGTGCTTTGTTTTTGTCCTTCCATACTGCAAGGCTTTCTGTTATAAACATTTCAAATGTCCTACAGATAACCGCCAGTTTAACACCCTCTTGCTTTCCACTGTGTCCCAGTCCAGGGCAGCGCTGTCTCTGCTGGGTTACTGCTACTATCACATCCAGGATTTCACCAGCGCTGCTGAGTGCTACGAGATGCTCACCCAGCTGCACCCGGAGGTGGAGGAGTACAAGGTATACTACGCCCAATCCCTGTACAAAGCTGGTGCTTATCCTGAGGCCACGAAGGCCTCCTTCGTGCTCGACAACCCCAGTAGCCACACCAAGGTACAACACACACACACACACAATCACTAGCATGATGATGTGAAAACCTTGTGTTTCAAAAATGACAACTTTTCAGCAGCTCCACTTTGACTTACTGCTTTGTTTTATGGGGAAATGAAAGTGTTTGGATCCATCACTGCTACAAGTTTGAAATTTAAGAAGCCCCCTTTATTTACATTGAAATCTTTCATTCTGTTCCCTCCATCTGTTACACAATTTCCATCACTGGGAGCACTGTTTCCACAGAAGTGCTCTAACAAATGCATATGGGCCATAAATGCTCAACACATTAAATAAAGCAAGCTAAAATCTGGATAGCTCAGCAACAGGGAACACATTTTCATTAACAGAAAGTTAAAATGATGCTGCCTTTAAATTAACTTTAAGTTATATTAAAATCAAGTAGAAACATTATGTAAATTTGTAAACAATTACTTCAAAATGTGTGAAGTAATTGTGGAAAAACAGGTTGCAGGACAGGAATTAAAGATGACAGCTTGGATCAGAGTGTGTAGTTTATGCTAGTGCTTGATTTTTTTAGCCCCAAAGTCAAACCAGCACTTGGCTCGTCACATCGTGTCCCTGTTTTACCTTTGGTTTATCCTCTCTCTCTCTCTCTCTCTCTGGCACAGATGATCAAGCTGCAAGCCTGTATCAAATATTGTGAGGAGGATTACTCTGCTGCCAAGGTGACGAGCTCTCTCACAGTATCTGTTTATACATATAAAATATATAATTTTTTGTCCTTGAAGCTAACTGTGTGTGTGTGTGTGTGTGTGTGTGTGCGTGTGCGTGTGTGTGTGTACAGTCAATGCTGGAGCAGCTGCCCCAGGATGACCCAGACTACGTCTACAATATGGGCTGTTTGCTTTATCAGGACGGCAAATATGAGGAGGCCTGCAAGAAGTTTATGTCTGCCATGCAGGTGCTGGGATACGTGCCAGGTAATCATCCAAACACACACATGAACACACCTTCACAGACACTGACTGCCTCTTGTGTGGTTTTCTTATATACAGATTCAGGGTTATCTTCTATGTAATGTTACAGTATTTTACAATTATTTGGCTCAAAACAGAGTTTCAGTGTGCAAAACTGAGTTAATTAGAGAGCCTTATGTCCCTCCCCTTCCGGTGGACCACCAACGGGACCTTATTTTGGAAAAAATATGTACGGTAGTCAACGGCAAGAGATAACAAATTTAGTTTTATCCTGTTTTGAATTGTGCCTTGAATTATACAGATGATTTTTGTCAAATTAAAATATAATTTTACAAGTCAAGAAGAATGTTGCAGTGTGTCGTAAAACATAATTACAAAGACCACAAACCCAAAAGTATGTGAGGTCCTAAATTTTAGCTTCCATGTGTAGATGATGTGATGAAAGGCCAAGGATTGTTTGATGAGACACATTAGATGAGACACATTTGTATGTGGAACATGTTTATAGTAATCAAAAGGAAATACTCATGAATGTTCACCAGGTCAGTAAGACTCCTGGTGGACGAAGATCTGGATCAGAGAACAGCCAAAGGGAGAGAGGAGAGGGGGTTTGTGTTATAGTTAATACACTATCACTAATTTTGGTTGCAGAAAAAGATGAATTTATTTTTCATATCACTACAGAAAGGTCTAATTAAACACTCAACAAAAATTCTACTTCAACATAAAGTGTTCAGCGAGATAAAAAAAGTATTTTCCAGTTTAAAGTTTCTGAAAATACAACTTGACTCCTTGGGATTCTATTGTCATTGAACGTGAAGAACTATGAATTTAAAGAGGAATTCAGCAGGGATTGTGTTTGAAAAATGACTGGTACCTTCATAGTTCATCTTGGTTTCTTTGTCTTTTTGCCTCTCCTCTCTGTCAGCGTTGTCCTACAACATCGCCCTGTGTTACTACAGCATGATGAACTACGCTCAGGCCCTCAAATACATCGGAGAGATCATAGAACGAGGCATCAGGGAACATCCAGGTAAAACCACATCTCAGCAAAACACCAGTCTAAATAGCCAGTTTAGTTTCAGCCACTCGTACTGTAGCAGTCTGTTTACAACAATCTTTTTGACCTACGTGTTTTGTCTTCACACCAGAGCTGAGTGTGGGGATGACGACTGAGGGCATCGATGTCCACAGTGTGGGCAACACGCTGGTTCTGCATCAGACAGCCCTCATCGAAGCCTTCAACCTTAAAGCTGCCATCGAATACCAGCTCAAGAACTGTAAGAACCTCACTCAGTGTCTCTGTGGCCTCATGAAGCATAAGAACAGGAGGATGGAGAGAGAGATGAGAGAGAGGCACCATAGTGGAGAGGAAGTATTGTATTTTTATGTTTGATCTGAACTGATGACAACCTAGGTAGCATTAATAACCACAGATGAACAGACAGACAAAAGAGCATTGCCTCTTCAAAAATGAGCAGTTTGCACCAAAGATGGGCATTAGAATAGAATAAAATGTAAACTTTAAGTTAAAACCCTTGCAAGCTATTTATGGCTTGAAATCTGCCCAAAAATATTTGTTTGCTTAATAAAAGGGCAGGTTTCCCACTGTGCAACACAGTGATGGAGTCAACATTTTAAAAAGACAGGAAACTGCAGGATTATAATTTACTGCTTAAAGGTTCAGTGTGTGAGAATTGAAACTACTCTTCACCTGTCAAATTCATGCTCTCAAGACATTAGGGTGCAGCATATCAAAAAAATCAGGTCATAATATTAGGCAACTGTTTGATAACATATTCACCATCTCGGCTGTATAGAGTGATAGTATGTTAATGTTGTGTATACAGCTTGTTGTGTCAGTTAATGCGGGTTTGAATTTGCTATTTGTCGCAGCAGAACTTGTTCAGCCCCAAACCACCTGCAGCCGGTCAACAGTATCATGGGAATGGTTCTGACCAACATTTCCTGTTTGCCTTCACAAAGTTACACAATCTTTGTGTAACAAAGCCAAACATTGGAAACATTGGTTATTAGTTGTATAATATATATCTACCAAGTCAAGTCCATTTTATTTAAAAAGCACTGAACAAAGTTATACAATAATAAAACAGATAAATAAAAACAGACCAATCAATTTATGACAGACAACAAAAAATAGAAGAATGAAGCATGAGCCAAAGAATAAAAATGAATTAACCAGGGTTGTTCTTGCTCAACTACAGGTTATATGATTCAGCCCTAAATAAGGTCACTTAATGTAAATGTATCCAGAGAGAGAGAATAAACTGATTGAGAGCAGTGAAAATCACCCCGTCAGAAGCAGGGTCGTCCTTCCTCCTGTCCTCAACCCTCTGTCACATTATCAACCCGAGACTTTAGGGATGAGCTCACACGTAGAGCTTAAAAGAAGTTGAAAGGGGACGCACCATATAACCGCAGCGTCCGCTTCTAAATCACTCTTCCTCCCAACATTTCCTGTCTGTATCTCCACCATCAACACCGTCGATTAAAGGTAAAAAAAATAAAGGTTCAACAGTGTTTTGAAAACGTAACGCTGAAAGTTTCAGGAAATTACACAATAAGAGCAACAGAGAAAAGTTTTTACAAGTCAAAGAAGAGCAAATGTGGCAAACAATGCAGGTTTTTAATTAATTATTAGGAAATGAACACATTCAGCACATCAAGGATAAACACTGAATGTAAACATAAAAACATTTGTTTCTTTACAAGACACCTGCACTGGAAACCTTTTTAAGTGTTCATTATTGAGTTTCTCCTTAATAATTTTCAAGACTCTGTTCAATTTGTTCATCCTGCCAAAAAAGTATGCAGGAGAAATGCTGATACAGACTACAACTAACAGCTTTCTATTCTGCTTTGTTTTCTTTGTGTTCCTGCAGTGAAAGGCGCTCAGGAGGCTTTGACAGACATGCCTCCCAGATCAGAGGAGGTAACTGTCATCACCCATTCACTCACCTGTGTGTGTGTGTGTGTGTGTGTGTGTGTGCTGGATTCTGGCTGCGTGTGATTATTCTGCTGTAATCTAAATTAAGGCTGCCTGGACCTGCCCCGCTCGCAGCCTGGAGATAACAGAGATTAATAGAATATTAGAATAGAGACATAGGTGTGAAGGCTTACATGGAGGTAATGATGATAGTTTTATCGTCTTCAGACTGCTTCATTAAAATTAATGTACAGATGGGGCACTGTCCTTGGTCCAGTCTGTAACTCCCACTTGGTCATGCAATTTTAACCTGAGAGAAGTGTACAACTAGTGCCCCCTACTGGAATTTACATTGAGTCATCCACCAAAACTCACCCCTTTTTCTTATCATATAGCGTTTTAAAGAGGCATGAAACATGGTGTATCCCATACAGTATACTATGGTGTGTGTGTGTGTGTCTTGGCAGGAGCTGGACCCAGTGACACTGCACAACCAGGCTCTGGTGAACATGGACACGAAGCCGTCGGAGGGTTTTGAGAAGCTGGCCTTCTTGCTACAGCAGCCCTCCTTCCCTCCCGTCACTTTCGGAAACCTGCTGTTGCTCTACTGCAAACACGAGGTACACAAAAGGCCGGCCTGCAGGGTACAGCGATCCTGAACCTGGAAGGGCCCAGACCGGATTGAATATGGCTTTGAGTATCTTTGAGCAAGGAATCCTGACCTGCCCAAGGACTTTTATAGACCAGTACAGGTTGTAGGCAAAAGTAAACAAGCTGCCATCACTGCAGTGGGCTCTTAACTGTAAAACTTTGTAGTAACACTGTGAAGTAAATAAAGGAAAAAGCAGGTATTTTAACTACTTTTGCTAGGAAATACTGTACTTCCAGGAGATCCTGCAGGACACTTACCTACCAGTTGTAAAGTTTTTATTTGGTTAGGCGTCTTTTCATCTGCAAAAAAAAAAAAACTAAACTTGCTGGGCTCCGACAATAAACTTTTAAAAGAAGGAAAAGCAAAATGCAGAAGCCCTCGCTGCATGAAATCCCCTTCAGTCATTTATGTGTCACTTTGGACAAAAGCATTTGTAAAATGAATAAATGTAAATGTAATTCGCTGCTTAAAAAAAAACGCTGCCTGCCTAGAAAGGGGCTGACGTCCACACGGCCAGGCATCATTTGTTTCGGATGTTTACTAAATGATTAATCGCGTCTGATCGTAATGCAGGAAATCATGGATTCCAAGTTTGATTTATAATGAGAAATTAGCCGGTACCTCCGGCTGGACTTAATTACTTCACAGAACTTTCATGTCTAGCCTGTGACAGATGAACAAAAGTGTGTCCCCCAAAGTTTGTCACATAACCAATTTCACACTATGTGTTGAGACTGAGTAACATCCACATTCACTCAAAATACCTTCACTTGTCAAAGGAAACAATTACTGAATGCAGTCAAGCCAAATATCTCTGAGTTAAAAATGTGTTCGACTCCAGAGAGCGACTGAACTTCACATCAGTATATAGATCCACAGCAAAATAAACCTGTTTTCACGACTCAGTTTTTCATTACATAAGCCAGCAGCTCCGTATAGGGTTGTTTTACTGAATGTTAGATTGAAAGTTATCATGGTGTTCTCCTTCAAAAACATGACCCCGAGGGTCCATGCAGGGAGTAACATTGGTTTCAATAGGATTTGAAGGTCATGTGGAGTGAGTCTTAGTGGAAAGGGGTAAAAACACACAGGGAGCTGCCGAGAGGTGTGGGTCTTTCATTAAAATGGTATTAATGTCACTGTTGGATTTAATCTCTCTCTCAGTACTTTGACCTGGCAGCTGATGTTCTGGCAGAAAACGCCCATCTCACCTACAAGTTCCTCTCCCCGGTAAGTTCACAGTCACACAGGGGCTGGACTTTAAGATCAGGTCCTAATTCACACTTAATTCTTATAAATGCAAATTTTCTGTCTCTGTTTTTCCTTCATTTTCTTGTTTGCCTGCAAAATGTTCTAAATAATCATGAAAGGTTTCCAATGGCTGGATCCACATTGAAGTTGTGTTTTTGTCCTTTCCAGTACATGTATGAGTTCCTTGATGCATTGCTGACCTGCCAGACAGCACCAGAGGAGGTACTGTAAGATAAGAAGGTGGAAAACTTGTAGCATTTATAAGACGCATATTTTTATTTTAACAGTAGATTAAATGACGTGTGTGATGTAGTAATAGTTACAAACCCACAGAGAATCATCACCAACCCGTTTTTCAGCTCATTGTTTTGTTTTTTTAAAACATTTACTGTTTGATTGTTCAGTCTCGGCTCTCTCATCATCATGTTTTCCAGCTGCACTAAGCTGTTTTCAGCAAACAGCGGTAAGGCTTGCTCACCAAATTACCATAACATCTTTATGGGGATGACATGTCGCTGTGTTTACAGTTTGTTAAGTTGGCTAAAGAAATCATTAACGTAGCTTTAATTATAGTTGGTGCAACTGAGAGGATGTCAATTGGTTCCAGTGATGAATCCTTTTAAAACTAAAAAGAATTTCATAAAGCTTTGCATCCCAAACATGCAGAGATCAACTACATTTTGGATGGTTTGGACTCATATTGAACCTGCACACTGACATTTGAAGTTCTTATCTAAACCAGACATTTAGACTAAGCTGGTAAAGGTCACCAGAGAATTACATTTAATTCTCAATGTGCAGGTACCTCCTCTGCTGAGACTTTATGAATGTCCATCCATCTTCATCCGCTTATCCGGGGTCATGTCGCAGGGGCAGCAGCTCCAGCAGGAGACCCCAAACTTCTCTTTCCCGGGCCACATTAACCAGCTCCTTTATGATTGTGTACTCAAATACCTGTGCTGATAAATAATTAGTATTTTGTCTTATTAATATTTTCACACACAAATCTTTCACAGTACAGCTTCAGGTTCTTTCACATCTAGAAAAGGCTCATGTTTAGTTGTGTGGTGTTTTTTTTTTTTTTTTTTTCATTCATGAATAAAATCATTTATAACCTTTTTTTCCCCCCTGCTGTCCGTTTATTTCACAGGCTTTTAGGAAGTTTGAGGAGATGAACGGCAAACTGACGGAGCAGTTGCGGAAGCTGGCTAAGCAGGTCTTTTTCCTCCTTCCACATCTTCCACTTTTTTTGTTGCTTTCTAATTTATTGTGTATTGTACTGTACATATGTTTATTTTTCTGTATTTCATTTTGAGATATTATGTTTAAGGCTGTAGTCGTTTCCAGACAACTCAAAACACTGACACGCATCCTGAGTCACAGTTGCTTAAGGAAATTGTGAAAATACATATTTTACACTTAAAAGCGGATTTCTCAGGAATGTTTCTAGATATGTTATTATTATGGCAAAATAAACAGTGGTTGTAAAAAAGCCGCTCAGCTTCGAGTTTTGGCTGAATGTTGTTATTTGTTCTTTAAGGTGCAGGAGGCCAGGCTTGCTCGAGACGATGACGTGCAGAAGAAAGCTCTGCAGGACTACGACCTGATGCAGGAGAAGTGAGGACTCACTCACCCACACGCACACACACACACACACACAAACACACACGGATGTGAAAAGATGAAACGGATGGTAAAACAGTTAAGAGGCTGCTCGCTGATATCTCGCACCAATATTTAATATTTTTAAATACAATATTTGAAGATGTAGAATTTACATCTGTATTCACTAAAACACACTGTAATCCTGCTCTTAATGAAAAGTGTAAGGAGATAAGTTCTTATATGAATTGGTGCTATATAAAAACATTTAATTGAATCCCAGGTACATCGTGGTCCTGATGGCTCAGGCCAAGATCTACTGGAACCGGGAGAACTTCCAGATGGTGGAGAAGATCTTCCGCAAGTCGGTGGAGGTCTGTAACGAGGACGATACCTGGAAGCTGAACGTAGCCCATGTGCTCTTCATGCAAAACAAGTACAAGGAGGCCATCGGCTTCTACGAGCCCATCGTCAAGAAGCACTACGATAATGTGAGTGCTTTTAGGATGGCTCGTCACGTTCGTGAACAATATGGAGAAAGTAAATGTGTAAAGGGAGAATATTAATGTCAGAAAATGCATGTCAGACATCAGACACCTGACTAATTTATTGTATTTTGAAGCAAACGCTCAATTACAATGCTGTTAATCGGCACCACAAAGAGTCTGAGGTCAGGACTAAAGCTTGACAGTTTGCCTTTCTGTCCAGGTGGAGCAGTGTAACATTCAGGAGTGTCCCTGCAAGTGCAAACCTTCGGTAAAAATAGAGACCAAACTGCTTTGTTTTGATTCCTCTGCAGTGTTTTTAACATCCGTGCATGTCTGTTGATTGATGATTTTCTTCTGTTGTATTGTGTGTGGGATTTTGTTTTGTTTTTTTGCAGTGGTGTTTATGTCATTTCTGACATCTGACCTTTGTCCAATTTCAGAAAATTACGTCATGATAAACGTGGTAGAGGGCGAAAAATAATCAGAGTTAAGTTTTAGTCTTTAGTGCAGTCTGATAAATCTTAAATTCAGTTTTAAAAAAACAGCGATTTCTTGTTGGTATTTTAGTGAAAAATAACACCAGTTGTATCTAGTATATCCTGAAATCTTGACTTCAGTTTTCTTTCACATTAAAAGATCTTCACATCAGCATGAGGAAACTTGCACGCAGTCTGGGTTGGTTTTAAAAAAAACAAAAAGGTTTGTTAAAGGTCCGAATGCTGGTTGATAATGTTCTGTAAAATGAGTCTTGCTTTTGAATGTTATTAAATATATTAATATGTTGAACAAACTGATAGAAAAATGTGTGTGTGTGTGTGTGTGTGTGTGTGTGTGTGTGTGTGTGTGTGTGTGTGTGTGTTTGTGTTACTGCAGATCCTGAATGTGAGCGCTGTCGTCCTGGCCAACCTGTGTGTGTCCTACATCATGACCAGCCAGAACGAAGAGGTACTGTACAAAGACGTTAACGCAGTCCTGTTGTTCTGTTCAGTGGTCAGTAGTATCCTGCCAGAGCGGTAACAATATACAACACTGAAAGGGAGCACTGCATAATTATCACTCTTACACAGTGGTGAAAAGTAACTAGGTACAAATATTAAAGTACAAATATGAGGTACTTGTGCTTCACTTGAGTATTTCTATTGTTTTCTGCTTAATACATCTACTCCACTACATCTTAGGAGGAAATATTGTACTTTTTACTCCACTACTTTTATCTAAAAGCTACAGAAACAAAGCTTACTTTTACACACAAACCATATCTGCTTCTAAAATATGATTTTTTTGGGGTAAACCTCAAAGCAAAGACTTTTACTTCCACCGGTTACAACATTAAAATGCTGCTTTCACGTTAATGTGTCAGTTGGGTCTGATGTGATAGAATAAATTACATATTGTAAAATTAACCACTGTTAACACTCTTCACTCTGGGAAATAAAAAACTTCAGTAACTAACTTTATTAGTATGTTATAAAAAAAATAAAAATTCTCAGAACTCAACTTAGTTTGTTTGTTGTTTGTATTCCACTGAACATTTGTGGTATATGAATAAAATACCAATCTGCATAATGACTACTTTTACTTTTAAAAGTAAAATTTGTTGATAATACTTTTGTACTTTAACTTAACTTGTAACTTCAGTATTTTAACTTAACTTTTACTTGTAATGGAGTATTACATTTAATACTTTACTGTAAGCATGCTTTGAGGATAATACTACCTCTGACTGAGGCCCACTCACACTGCTAAGATGCCTGTAAATCCTCCTGGTCGTCCTGTTCTTACAGGCTGAAGAACTGATGAGGAAGATCGAGAAAGAGGAAGAGCAGATCTCCTACGACGACCCCGACAAGAAGGTGTTTCACCTCTGCATCGTCAACCTGGTCATTGGGTGAGTTCCAGCTGCTGCTGCTGCTGCTGCCTTTCACTAATCCCGCTGGAAAAAACTGGCTGATGGTTGTGAGTGAAGCAAGAAATATTCCACTGTTCACAGCGTGTTTATTTAATTATTTAAAAGGGACGGTGTACATTTATAAACATATTAGCTTTGCAGCAATGTAAGCATGCCAGATTTAGCCAGGAGGCTATTTTCTCCAGCAGGACGTTAAAAGGTCAGTAGTACAAGAACATCATAATAATAAAACAAATATACAATACATCACAATATAAGACACCACAATTATCAAGACAGTCATGATGCTTTACTAAACCGATCATGAGCTGGTTGCTAAATTAAATAATGTGCAAGTTAGGTGGATTTATAGTTAAGGTGCTGTTTATGCAGTAAAGTGTTATCAAAACATTATATTATTACCACACAGCAGAGTGAAACTTCTCTCACATCCGCTACAAGTCAACATTTATACACTGACTGCACCATGCAAGGTCACAGAAACTGAATCATATTCACACAAGTAGGGGTTCAGTATCTTGCCCAAGGACACTTGGACATGCTGCAGTCTCCACCTCCTGAGCCACTACAAAATTATCGGCTTCCCGAGGGAAGCCAGACCAGAGGGAGGTCAGACCTCAGCAGCAGAGCCATCACAGCACTGAGTACTCACAGTACAGTCCACTGTTCACATTACTTTACGTCATACAGGTCTTATATCTTGTTGAACACTATGCATTAATGTGTGTGTATATTTGTCCATCTGTACATGTGAGAATATATAGGTTATTTTTCATCAGTATCACTGTTTTTGTCTGAAGTTGTGTTTTTATCTTTCAGGACGCTGTACTGCGCCAAGGGGAATTACGACTTTGGCATCTCTCGTGTAATCAAGAGCCTGGAGCCTTACAATAAGAAGGTCGGCCATTTAATTGTTCTCAGGCCTTTTTTCTGTAATGTTTGTAGCACATGTTTTTAAGGAAAGTTGTTAAGCTTTTATTTGTGAAGCAGTTAATATTTTCAGTGATGGACAGGAGATCATAAACACAACTACAAGGATATAGGTTTAGCATTCAGTTTGTGAAATTAAAAGACAAGTATCCAGTTTTAAACCCTCCAGGACTCTCTTGCTGAGCGTTTTCTCTGACGCCGAGCTGCTCTTTTTGGGACCTTTTGATCTGGTCCAGTCACAACAACAACCAAACTCTGGCTGCAGCTGAATCCACTAAAGTCCAGCTGAGAACACAGGCCGTCATCCTGAGTGTTTCCCCTCTTGTCCTCACAGCGTTCCCCACCACAGAGTCACATTCCCAGAGAAAGCAGAGAGGAGTTCAGGAATGTGAAGCCTGGCGAGCCACACTGTCACGCCAGCTTCTCACAACCTGACCGTCATATCTGAACTCAGTCACTGCCACACACCATCCTGTAAAGTCAAACCACAGCTTCTCCCCGCATTCCAAATTAATATTTACACATCTACTTTGTCTTACCCAAAAGCAATTCAAAATGTACCACCTCCACTGCTGCAGAATAACTTGAAGTTGTAAACTCATTACTTGAGTATCTCTGAAATGTACATTGTTTCTCAGTTTTGCTGGCCTAAACTTTGTGTTTACCTTCTTCGGCTGTTCTGCAGCAGGTGAGGTAAATGAAATCGATGCATACATTTCTACAGGCGTCCCGATTTGTAAACACCTTGGACCTCCCTGTGTTAAATCACCCACAGAAGCTTTATTATTTTATATATTGCAACAAAAAAAAGCAATTGGACAGGCCAGTTGGTCATCGGTTGATCCTTTCAATGAAATACTGAAAAGTGTGTGTGTGTGTGTGTGTGTGTGTGTCTGTGTGTGTAGCTGGGAACGGACACATGGTTCTACGCCAAGCGCTGTTTCCTGTCTCTGCTGGAGAACATGTCCAAACACATGGTCATGCTGAGGGATGCTGTGGTACAGGAGTGTATTCAGTTCTTGGAGCACTGCGAGGGTGAGCAGCAATATCGCGCACACACACCTGTAAAACTGCCCGAATCACGGCACTATAGTACCAACATTTCAACCCTACACCATCAGTGTAACGTCAGGCTTTTACTTTTTAATGGTGCACGCGTCTGCTTTAAATACAACTGCAGGATACAGCTTATAAATTTATTGTTAACATTATGTTTTTAGTATCCCATGATAATCTTAATCCCAATGACCTCCTGAGCTTTCCTTCAGCGTCACCATCGGGTCAGAACCAGCAGTTTATTAAACCCTTCTCTTAATCAGCAATCATCCCGCCATAACTTAGCAACTGTAAGCATTTCCGGCTAACTAGCTACCTTGTGCAGTAAACCCTAGCACTACTTTAAAGGCCAAGACTACAGTAAAGTATATCATTAAATAACTACATTGCTTTGTAGTTCACAGGTTACATACAATAGCACAATGGACAAAAACGTCCAGCATACTATCAGCGTGGAGGCTAACGTTAGCAGCTCTGTCCTGATACTTTGGGCTTTTAGGGACATTTACACTCAATCACACTCAAAGTCTCTATTGAAGTGTTACAGTCGCCAAACACACTCTGGTTTGTCGTCATCCTAAAAGCCTTTTTTTCTTGTTACGTTAAAAGTAAAACACTTGGAAGCTAGGCAGCAGGGTTACGTTTGTAACCAGCCTGATCTTACATTTGTCCTCATCATACTTGATCATACCAGGACTAACTAACTCTACACTACAGTAAAATAACAATGCTGTTTATTAATTTTCACGTCTTCTACATTTGTCATCAACTGGTCAGGATAATAGCGGTTTGCCTGTTAGCTTTCGCACTCCACTCAGCTACCTCGGCTGGCCAGCTCATACTGCTGTCGCTCAGGGATTCTGCTAAATGACCTAAATCTAAATGTACTGTATGTAGCCATCTATTGCATACAGAAAGCCTTTTTACAGGATTCATTTTAAAACCAGTCGGCTGGAGACATTAAAAAGTGAGCTAAGGGAGGTAAGCTAGCTCTGATAGCTCAAATCTGCTAGCCAGTTATGATTCAGCTAGATTGACAGTCAATGACTTTTTTTTTTCAACCTTTGTCTGAAATCAGGGACCCATTGTTAGAAAAATTCCTTCAAATAACAATCTGCCCTCGTTTCCACTGTAAACTGCACGTGCAGCGTCCATACAAGACCAGATTTTCATGATATCTATGGAATCCAGATGAATGACCTTTACCACCCTGTCAGTTTCCACTAAATGCATTTTATATTAATCTTTTGTTAAATTTGCCGAGCCATGACATTCATGTTGTCCAGAGGATGAACCCTTTATCACCCCGTGCCCTTTCCTCTACTGCCACCATTAGGCCAGGCTTCTCAGCAGTGCTTTAATAATGTGAGGCGTTAGAACATTTCAGCCTTTCTTTGATCAGTCTTGTTCCGTTTGAGTTGATATCAGTGTTAACTCTGGGTGTTTTCTTTGCTTCCCCTGTAGCGTACGGTAAGGAGGTTCCAGCCATCATCGAGCAGCCTCTGGAGGAGACCCGCATTCACATCGGCAAGAACACAGTCACCTACGAGGCTCGCCTACTCAAGGCGCTGTTCTACGAGGTCATTGGCTGGAACAACTGAAGTGTTTAAGGTTTGCTGATCCCCGTTTACCAGATTATTAACACCACTGACTGCAGCCAGCGATGGCATTTGGTCGATGGCTTCCAGTCAAAGGATAATGGAACTAATCAGCACAAATCTACTGGTAGTCAGTGTCACATATGTATGTGAATAAGGGCTGTTGTGCAAGCTTTATACACCTGTGATCCAAAACCCTTTTTCAGTTCCAGACTTCCTTTTGGACTCACTCTGTCTTGCTCTTCAACACTCACACACCCCAGGGGAGGCTTTTATTTGGAAGTTGAGTTGAGCTGGGGAAAGTTTTGGCACAAAGTTCATCTCTTACATAATCAGCTTGAGTTCTTTCTCACTTTATGATCCGACTGAAGCTCCACTTCAGACTCTTATAGCAAGAGATTTACGTTTTATTTTTTTAATCAGTGCTACTTATTATACAGGATACATGCAGCAAACTTGATTGTTTTGTTTTTTTTATTCTGCTAACATAAAATACATGATAACAATTTTGTATGATGAGTTCATCTGCATGCATTCAGTTCATGCGTATCTCCTCTTTGGTCCGTGCTGGTTGTACAGCTGCCTTCTCGTCCTGTTCTGTGGATTTCTATTCAGTAGATATGATGTTTGTGAAAAGCAAAAACATAATTTAACTAAAATAAAGATATTTTTGAACAAAGAAAAAGTATCATTATGTTCAGATGTTTTTCTTTAAAGCTGCAGTAAATATGCCTTGGCCTTTCAAATAGGGATGCTCCAATCAGGCTGCTTTTAAATAACTGACCGGTTCCTTGTATTTAAAGCGTTTTGACCTCCTGTCCCACCTCTAGCCTTTCGGAACAACTATCAAAAAACATTTGCCTTCAAACAGGTTTGGACCACTTTAAATGTTGTTTTCCAACAAGCCACTGTAAGTCTTATTTTCATAATAATGGCCATCTGACTGATAACTCTGTACCTGCCGCCTCCGTTTTCCGCTCTGCCGTCATTTTTCGCTGTCATATTTTCTATGTAGCCAAGTGCAAATAAGAAGAACCAGGTCAAAAAGTACAATCATTTTCCTTTAATTCATTACATCTTGTTAAGTCAAGTAAATTGTATTTCTATAGCCCAATGTCACAAATCACAATTTGCCTAAACTAAATTCTGGACAGGTCTCTCTCCTCACAGAGCAGCCAGAAATATTAAAACGTTTTGACATAAAATTCATACAATAACAGCCAACCAGGGGACGGCATCGGGGTTACAGCTCTAATCCCTTCGCCCATAACTCCCCAGAAAAATGGTTAAGCTTAAACTGTGCGGCAAAAGGAAAAATCTGACAAGCCAGCTCACTCTGGAAAAGTGAAAGTGCAATAAATTCTAAACTAAATCCTCCAAAATTTCATTTAGAAAAAAAATTATAATTTCTTCAGCTAGCAGCCTGAAGTCACCGTGTCCAGCTCCACGTGGACCGGAACGTGAGCTGCCTCGGACGCCAGTTTGCTGAACTGTGAATTCAGATTGCTTCCTGTAGGATTGGAGCATCGCTACTTTTAAAAGGACATCTAGTTTGGGATTAATTAGATACATAGCATTAGGTCAGATTCAGCACATCGGGTCTAAAGCATTTTCCTCATTATAATCATCGAAGATAAATGAACAAAAAGTGGAAAAGGGAAAAGTGTTGCTTCCATTTTGTGTTGAGAGTCGTTCTCCAGCTGTGAAGAGCTACCGGATCTACGGTTTTGCTTGTGTGAACGCACAAGGGTGAGGATGGGAGTTCAGGAGAGCGGCCTCTTCGTTATGTCCTGTTCTGCCAGGTAGTAGTTCAGGTATCCGCCCAGAGCGCCGACAGCCACTGCCGTCATGTGACTGGAGCAGCCGTCTGGGAGACGAGAAGGGCAGAGGGGGAGGAAAGAGTGAGTTTGACTCGGGTGTATTGGAGCATTTTATGATCAGTCATCTTTTTTCCCTCCCAAGCATTCAGATTTTTACTCGCATGAAAGTCAACAGTATTAGCAGTAAAATTACCTGCGATTCAAAAGTAAAAGTACAAGATACAGACATGAAATGAGTATCGACAACCGGATGGAACCGGTTCTTGATTTCCAAGAACCACGGATTCGATAAGGATCTCAATTCTGCTCCTCTTTTCCTAACTTCCTGCATATTTCAGCTCCTGACTGAACTGCAGTGAGCATTTTACAGTCTGTAAAATTGTCTCTTATCTGCCAGGAGCTGCTACGCCGACCTGACGTCACCTCATTTGTTACAACAACAAAGCATGAAGAAGAGAGTCCTTCTGTTTCCAGTCCGCAGCAAATGCTCCAAAGTTTGGCTTAGCTGCACTAAAAAAAGAGAACACAGCAAAACGCAACAGCTGCAGTAAGGAGGTTTGGTGCGAGGGAGGAAGCAGCTCCAACATGACGAAGCATTTCCTTCAACACGGCGTGAATCTGAAGGAACGCACCGTGTTCAAGGTGTCTCGCTCCCCCAGCTACAATGACGCCCCAGATATAGCAAACAGTAGCAAGCTCTCCAGCACAAAACACAGGTGAGCTGACGTTCACCTTTTATACTGAAGGGAAATGAATGATGTCTACAAATGACTCAACATAATAGTTTTCTTAGAGACGAGTCCCCAGAGACGCCCCCTCTAGGACTCCTCTTCCCCTTCACTTTAGACATGAAGGGGAAGAGGAGCAAGAGGGTGAAAGTCAGCGAGCGCTGAGGAGATCTAAGATGAAGGAACCAGAACTGAGATACGATAAAATTTAAACCATACCCAACCCTACTACTCAACACCCATCTTTATTATCAATATATTTATTTCTGCTCAGTAAGCTTAGAAATAAAATGTACTTTAATGTTCCTGTGGGGATGTTTTGTCTTGGAGTTCAGTTCCAGAAACAATACAATTCTTTGTAAGCACATCAGGTATCGACCGGACGTCACGATCCATACTGAAGACAGAATCTTGTCTACGTTGAAGGTCCTTTAAGGTGTCAGAGCTACCGACAGCTCTTGTCCTCATGTAACGTAAAAATGATACCAAGTTCTACAGATTTTAAATATACAGATACTGTTTTATAAATTTTGCGGAGAAAAAGAGAGAAAAATTGTTGCATCTCTACCTTTTTACCTCATGACATCAGGGTATAGAGAACGTTTTTAGAGATTTATTCATACTTTTATCTTCTGACGTGGAACATGAAGTGAATCTGATCATCTATCGATCAGAGATCAGCGATTCTTACCGGCCACGACCTTCAGAGCAGGCTGCACCAGGCAAATGATAAGAGCTCTAAGCTTTACTGATAATACCAGGCAGTAATCCCAAATCTAATGATGCTCTGTGATACTACTCCTTGTTTGAGCTCTTAATAAATGACTCAGCAGATCACAGTAAATAAGCCTGTGTGACGGCAGAATAATTCGATGTGTCCTGGAGCTGACCTGGAAGTATTTTCTCCCTCCTCTTCACTCTCCTGTGAGGCTGCAGCTGTTCCAGCAGCTCGTCTCCAATGATCTGAGAGATGATGCTCTCTGAGACAAGAAACGGGAAAACAATAGCAACTGTTAATTCATCTCTTTGTCCGGTTCAGGCTGTCAACACCTAAGTGAAAAAAATATGTAATAATATCTTACAAGTGCCTGTACTTACACCACCTGTGATTAAAAGGACAAGGATGCTGATATTTTTAGATCCGTTTTATTGCTCATTTATGGATAAATATTAGGGCTGTCAATGCATTAATGCTCACAATTTATCTTTTTATGCTAATTAATCATATTACCAAATTTGACACCGTCGTGGAAATTATGTTCCTGGTGAGGGATTGAGCAAATAATTGGGTTACAACAAAACTTTGTCTTTGAAGAATTAATAATTAATAAAAGAGAATAAACAGATACAGCTGGTCCAGAGACCTGCTGCCTGGGGCAGCTTCGGGCGTCTGGCCCCGAGCAAAGGGATGCATCATCATATACACAGTCTAGGTTTCTATGTTTTGGGGAGCAGAGATCCTTTCTCAGCCTTAAATAGACATTCAAGGAGAGGAGAGGAACAACAAGAGGGGAAAAACACCAAAACAATCTCTATAGTTCTGACCTAAACCCTGGTAAATGTGGACGGACTAACATAACGAGTATAGGAGAAGGAAAGGGTAACGATAAAATACACAATATATACCTATAAGACATAACAATATTAGTAAAAATAATAGTAATAGTATTAAAAGAACATACATAAAAGATTAAATGTAAGAGGACACAATTTTAACAGACACCAACTTCTTCCCGTAATTATAGAGCAGATTCTTACCTGGCTTTACTTAAGCTGTGGGAAACGCATAAAGCAATGTCTGAGGAGACGTGCTAAACAGCAAATTTGGTTTTAAAAAGCTTCCAGACAGAAGTTTAGATACATCTGCAACTATTTTTTGGATATGTCCAAGCACCTGCTGATTCCAATAGATATAATCCTAAAACAATTATGGCATTGTTCTGTCACCACAGCGAAAAAATAGTGGCAAAATTCAAATTCAAAAAATACAAATGTGACACAATCTACAAATAGAACATGAAATTCACCTGCAAACAAATCACTTTACATTCATTCAAATTCTGGTTTTCAAGTACAAGTCACTGATTTCTATTTGTGAATCATGATGTGTTTATTTGTAGATTTTTAATCTTTTTGTATATCATGCTTTATATCTGTGGATCATGAAGAGTCTGTTTGAGGATTTTGTATCTATTAGTAGATCGTGTTTTACATTTGCGGATCATGAGAACTTTGTTTGCGGATTTTTAATCTATTTGTAGATTGTGTTATGTGTTTACAAGTTGTAATATCCGTTTGTGACTTTTAGTCTGTCCATTTTCAATGTTTTTGGCACTGATTTACCTCCATAGGATACTTTCAATTCAAACTGCAAACTTCCCCTGAGAAGAATCTGACATTTAACACATTACTTTTTTTAGTTATTAAATGTATGCATCCATGAGTTCCACAGTTCACACATCCTGTGTTCTCAGGATTCTCCTGTTGAGTCTTTTCACATTCTGTTTAGTTTAGGTTTATATTTAGGTTTTTGGTTTATTGGTCAGTTTGTTATCTGTTAGTTTGCCTCTGTTGTTCTGCCTTCTGCTTGTTCTGTGTAGTTGTTCTGGTCAGATATCTTTAGTTTAATTATCTGCTGGTTTGTTTCTTAGTCATGTATTGGGTTTCAGACTTGTCCGTCTGTTGTCTTATTTTTAGTCGGCCTGTTTTAATGTGTATTCATATGCGGTATTTTTCTGTGTACTCTGTTCTGTTAGTGCTAGTTTTAGTTTGTTTTCCCTGTTTTCCCATCAAATCTGATGTTCTGTGTGCGGGGGTGTTTAAAAGACTCTTAAGCCTCTCTGGGACAGTCTTGTCCATATTTGAGGGCCCTAGCCGTAGTGGTTTTTGATCTGGCCCAGGGCTTAAGTGTAAATATCCTAAATCATCCTTTTTATAGCGTTTTCACAAACAGGAAAAAATGGTTTTACAAATCTGAAAGTGGGTTTCTGGCAGCATTAAGGTGTTTGAAAACCTGGTTGAGTAAAGATTGTATTACTATTTACCTAAAGTATGAAAAGGACTCCTAATGCATTAAAATGTTCCTGTCAGTGTTTCATTATTATATCTGATGTTTCTGCTACACTAGGCCCTGTCTTGCATTTTACTGTGATAGTTGTGTAAAATCATTTTTGGGTTGTTTTAATGGAAAGTCTTTATAATCATAGACCCAGTGCAAACTTATTGTTCTCCCCCTCTAATCAATGTGTTCTGGTAAGCTTTTTCTGTAGAGTGGTGGCAGAAGTATTCACTTTATTTAGACTACTACCACACAGTGAAAATACTGCAGATTGTGCTATGTCCCAGCCTTGACAAGCCCCCAATTCACCAACAAGATTTACCAACAATTCCCACCAAGAGCAAGCACTAGGAGAGAGAGGCAAGGATAACTTCCTTTTAAGAGGCCTTTTGTGAACATAGATTATATGCTACTCAGCAAAATAAGAGATTCTAATTCTGATCTATTCTGATTCATCAAAACTTAACTTATTATCGCTATAATAAAGTAAAAACTAACTAGTTTGTCTAGAATTTCTTCACTTTCTTCTCCATCACTCCGCACTTTTGTTTCATCCCCCCTAAAATACAAATAATATTTTAAATTGTATTAATCACAGCCTTAAATTGCTTGATTAATTATTAATTGCCTCATTTATGTCCACAAAACAGGTCAGATATTTTGAGAACACTTAAGATATTAGGTTTAATTTGACAACCGTGCTCCCTTGAAAAAATTTGACATTTAACTGTATTTTTAAAACTGGTTTATTATAATGCTGCTCAAACACTCACTGTCTCGTCCAAAGCAGCCCACTTCCTCATCCTGCAGCCGGAGGATATGCTGCAGCCAATCAGCTTTGTAGAAGTCGAAGAAACCAGACAATCCACAAATCAGGACTGTTGACAAAGAGAAGAGGAACTTAAGTCAGTCCCTGGGACATTTAGCCTTCTGTTTTCTACACTGTTCTGCCGAAACTCCCGCTGCAACTCAACCGTGCAAGGATTTACATTTGTTCACAGAGCAGTTTCCCTCCTTTCAGCAGTTTTACACGAGCATCAATATCTCATAAAAAGACACCTGAAGGCAGAGAGAATCAATAAAGTGTTGAATTAGTGAACAGAAAACAGACATGTCACAAACACTAAAACATGCATCACCATTGACTTAAAGCTGTTGTGGCCTGTTTGAACCATAAAGACTAATAATATTTGATCAAAAAAGGATTCACCTATTTCATATCTTCAGTCAAAGCCTATTGCTAAAATTATTTTGTCTGATTGGCTGATTTGTTTTACATCTTTTGCGTGATTTGTTAGAAAAAGGTCAAACTTGAATAATGCCTGCAAGAAACTAACACAGCAGAGAGAAACTCAAAATATAAATAAAATATAGGGCAGTGTTTATACAAAGAATGTGGGATGATTAAAAGTAGGAGGTTTCATATCTGGTTTCAAAGCTAAAACCATTGGTCGCTTAATTGATTAGTCTGTTGACCAACATAAAGTTAAACTATTTTGATAATCAATTAATCGTGTCACTCACTTTTTAAACAAAAAAGCCAAAATATTCAGTTTACAGAATCTATAGGCTATTTTGTGTGTAGCTACAAATGTAGTTTAATTATGCAGCCTTGTGCTGTATAATAATAACAAGCTTGTACCTTGAATCTCTAATGTGAGGATTTCTTGCTTTTGTCAGATTTAGATAATTGGAAACTGAATTTATTTGGGGTTTGGACAAAATGAGACTTCACCTCTGTTTCTAGAACATTTTGATTGGCACCATTTCACTTGTTTTTTAACTTTTCATAGACAAAACCATTAATTAATTAATCAAGAATATAATTGTAAGATTAAACAAACAGAATATTCTTTAGTTGCAGCCCTTAACAACAGTTTAACAAACCAAGGCATAGCTATCAAATTATCCAAAGGGTTTTATAAGCTTGAAAAATTGTCTAAACTCGAATTTTCTCAATGTTTTGAAAGCATTTCAGATACAAGTGTCTTACCTGACAGGAATAATATGCAAAATATATGCAGTTTGAAATAAGTAAAACATATTTTAAAACACATGTTGAAACACAAACTACAAAAAAGGCAAATGTGGAGAAAAGGACAGACTCGTACCACAGTGCCCGCAGCAGAAAGACACTCACTGTTCTCGATGAAGATGTCCACCGTCTGTTCGGTCAGACCGTCTCTGATGATGTCCTGGTTGGTCTTCATCATGTTGGAGCAGAAAATCTTCTCGTAGCTCCGTTCAGTCATGTTGACTCGGGACTCTCGAGTGTCGCCTTTCAGCAGGTTGCTGCAGCCTCTCTGAGCGGGAAACACAAACCAGGAGCCGCCCAGAAACTTATAAACACATTAATGCTGCTGATCTCTTTTTATCTTAGCATCTGCTGTCAGTTCAAAAGGTGCAGGTGTTCACCCTCAGCATGTATTCATACAAACAGATTTTAAAGCATCATGTCAAAATTAAGTTTCTAACCAACTGCAGGAAAAGTTTCTCACATGTTTAGCCTGCATCATTAATAAAAAAACATAGATCCATATGATAGTGTGGCCAAACGATATTTAACTTCCCTTTTAACAAGCAATCTGTTTCCTGCTTTTCTGTAATAGAATAATTTGGGTGTTTTAGTTACCATTTTGCCGATCATGAAGTAGAGCAGCTGGTGGGACAGAGAGTAGTGTGGACAACCGAAACGAGTCATGGTGTCCCGGCAGGGCTTCGTGACGATGCAGGGCGTCCCGTTCATCTTCCTGCTCAGACACACAGGTGAGACAGACAGGTGAGTTCCCTCACACTGAAACGACATCACAGTTTGTCTAGTTTGTCAGGAAATAGTATAAAATGTAATTTCCCACCTCACAAATGGTTCATTTTCTGACTGTTTTGTCCGACCAAAAGTCCAAACCCCAAATTTATTTCATTTATTTATTATTTTTTTTATTATAAAGATCATTTATTTGATCATAAAGTTTGTTGTCAATCATTTTCTGTTAAAAGAAAACAGCTAGATAATATTAACTGTATATGTTTGTTAGTTTTTTTACTCTCAGGCTGCATATGGCCCCAAAAAGCTCCTCTAATCAGAGGGCAGAGCAAGAAGCAAATCAATATTTACACTTTTTCAGAGTTTGGCAGCTGGGCGATCAGAGCACTCTGTTTAGAGAGACTTTAGTGAGCGAATCACACTAATACTGTAAACGCTGGGAGATGAAAACAGAGTCACAGAACTGGAACACACCACTACTCCCAAAAAGTCCTCAAACCTCAGCAAAACAGGTCATTTGTCAGTGCTTTCCAAAATGACAAACATTTTCTGATCTGCAGTATTAGGCAACTAAGAAGTCATAAAACACCGACTGTGACTGTTAGACAGAAACCCTCCCTCCTTGTGTTTGTCGCGCTGAAATAAAGTGATGCTACGGCGTGTGTGTTGGTACCAGGTTCCCAGCAGCAGGGTCAGGCACTTGTCACTGAGCTGCTCGTCGTAACACTCGGTGGTCATGGAGGAGGGATAGACCAGGCTGGGGTCTGTGGAGCTCCACTCCTGAGGAATCAACCAGAAGCTCCACGACAGCAGGGGCTCAAACTCTGCAGGACACACAGGAGAGGAAGCTGAGAAGGACACCACAGGGCTCTGATTTCACAAAGGTGCAGTACAGACGGCCACAGGAGGCAGTTTGTCGCTAGAAGTCACACTGCAAGATCACAGCTGCATCTTTCAGGACCTGCTTATTTTGTCAAGAGTTTCACATGAAGGTATTAACCATTTATTAACGATGATCAACCATTTATGAATGATTATTAACAACTGGAATTAAATAGCATGTTTTTATACTACAGTTCATCTCATGTGTAAATCTCATGTCCTGTGTTCTGCTTTGAGAAAATGTCAATAGCCAAAAGGGACACTTGCATGTGGCGTCTGTCCGTCAGTCTGTGACAATATAAATAAGACAATATCTCCAACAATAGACAATATGGGGTATATAGGGTCGCTAGGGTTGCTGAGAAAAATTAATACATTTTGCTACTCAGTTTGTAGAAAAGTCTACAAAATACAAACGTTGATAACTTAGACATGCAACCTGTGACGAGGGCTTATAAAGACATATTGTTTTGTTTTTAAGGGACAAAAGCAAAAATAAAGTTAGGAAAACGATGGATTACAGCCTACATGAACAGTAAAAAAATATTTTTCCTTCTTGTTGATAAAAGATTTACCATGTAGACATTGGTTGGACTTATCATTGTTACTTTTTACCAATACTAATTCACATTTATCACCCGGTTATTTTAATGAGGTTTTCATGTGAGACAGTTGAGTAGATTTTGTTTATTTAGTAAAAGTGAGTTTTCAATTTGAGTAAAAGGGTTAGTGTAGCCTACTTCCTTCGCTTTTCACACCACATCACATGGATTTGTGGGAAATGAAGTCCCCCCTCTCTCACCTCTGTAGTATTTGGGGTCATTCTGCTGCAGGGCAGCGACGGCCTTGTCGAAGCTTTGGTCCAGACGCTTGACCAGAGCGACGGCGGAGGTTCTCTGAGCCCAGCTGACCGTGTCTGTGTGAGGCCACGTCCGAACTGCTTCCTTCAGTTCAGCTGAGACACAAAACAACACAGAGAAGACATTTACAGACGTTCATGGTGCCCAGATGATGAATCCTAACTGTGGTGATCCTCTGACTTTTCCTGTAGCGCCACCACCAGGTCAACACTTTAATGTGTCCAACACTTTGTGAACAAATACCTCCAGAACCTAGACCATTATTTTCAGCTGCATCACTGCATGTTGATGTTTTTAGCTGTCCCTACAACCTGCTGAGCTGATAGCATAAAGACTCTTATTTAGTATAGACAGAAACAAAACTAAGTAAATAAAGCCCCTTTTAAAAAAAGGGAAACAAATACTTTGTGTTGGCAGCAGTTTCTCAGTCCACACTGACCAGCCAGCACAGAGTGTGGAGAGGTAGCTGAAGAGGAGCCAGTTCCCCTCCTGGGTGCTGACAAGGTGCCCTTGAGCAACATAACGAACCACTAACTCCTCTGGGCGCCTGACTACGCGGCAGCTTCGTCACTCTAACGTCTCCCCCCAACTGAATGTATATCCTGTGTGTGTGTAAAAAAAAAAATAATGGAGTGAATTAATGTAATTTACCCTAAAGGGGATTAATAAAGTAATTATACTTACAAGTATTAAAGAATAAAGGCAAACCAGGGCAAGAAAGAATGAATGAAATGCCTTTTGAGATAAACAAAGAGTGAGATGAGATCTTAAAACACTGGATGTGAGGAAGACTTATTCAAAGTCTCAGTAACCACCTAAACAATGAGCAGGGCAGTTGTTCTGATGACCCCAGAGGCCTGTTGGAGCTTAAGAAATTCACTGATAGGCTGTGTGTTGTTGGAGTCAAACCACATAACCTCTTAAAAGCAACGAGAGGTATTTTGAATTTAACAATTTAAGTATGCAGCAGAACTAGATAGATATTTTATTTAAGTTTTTTTATTTGGTTCTTTAAACTTTTAAATAAATAATTCGCCTCAAACCTTTCCATGATAAGCAGGATCGTGCTCTACCATTTCGCAAAAACACTGCAGACATTCCGTGCAGCTGACCCGTCTGTTTGCAGAGAGGAGACTCTTCCTGCTGCCCGTCTCCCGGCACAGGACTTGTTTACGTACCCTGCAGCATGAGGAAACCGACCACCCCGTCCAGGTTGATGTGCTCATGTTGCCGCTCCAGGAAGGATGCTCCCCTGGAGAGGCTGCTCAGGATGTCATCGATCACCTCCGCGTGTGACCCGCACACTGCGGCAAACAGAGCCAGCACTGCGGCTAGCTGGTGCCCTGCAGCCCGCATGTTCTCACTCCTATAATCCCAGTCTGGAGGCTCCGGGACCGTCTTGTCCGACCGAGACAGGGGAGCAGGGAGGACAGGCTGTCTCTCTCTCTCTCTCTCTCTCTCTCTCTCTCTCTCCTCTAACAGGGGGGAGGAAACAGGCATGACGTCAGGAAGGCTTGCATTACGAAATCCAAACTTAATTTAAACTTAATACACATAATTTGCGTATTTACTTATAACATCACCTCACATTTTGTCAGGTAAGTCGAGACCAACATGTTTTTTCTGTCTCGGAACTATTCACATGTAATAGCAACTAAAGATAAAAGCTGTCTATAGAGCTTCATGCAAAAGAACAAAAACAGAACTGTCTTTTCTAGACAGTAACCCCACATTTGCGAAATCACCCTTATTCATGCACACACGTGATCCATTACAGTCGCGCTTGATGACAACATAACAGGGAACTTCTCTTAATATCTGACGAAGCATTAGAAAGTTTTTGGATTTTGTCAGAAAGTTCATATTCTTCGAACCTTACATTTACAAATTGTAGAAACTTGCGTTTGTGGAAAATGTATAATGCTTAGAGCTTCTGCTGGCACACCAGCTAAAGTATGAGGACCAGAGATGAAAGCCGTTCAACAGTTTATTGTCCTTAGTTTCCCACTTCAACAGTTGACTGACAGATGATTGAACAGCGAAAAAAAGGCAAATGAAAACAATCAGTAGACAGAAGTTACTCTAACGGGTCATAATCAAATTAAAACACTCACTAGCTGTGAAGGATTATGGAAAAGAGGAGCAGGGCCTCATCAGGCCTTTTATCAGTTCAGGTGTGGCCTGACAGGTTGTGGCTAAGCCCCGCCCCTCTGGAACTGGGCAGGATGGAGGATTTTCTTCACAAATAACAATATTAATAATGTGAAATAAAATGTGTTTAATTCCGAATCTGTCTTTGGATGCTGTCCCCATGAGCCTGCAAGTAGAAACTCAAAACAGGTTAAAGTTATATGTCTACCCTGCAGTTTGTGAGCAATTCACCCAAAGAGATATTTCTCCCTTTGCCTTTATTTTATTTGAATAGGCTAATTAATGGATTTCAGAAACAGGCCTATGTCTTTTACTTCACAAACAACAAAAAAGAAAACATGTTAGGAAAAAAATATATAGCCAAGCATTTTGTTCCTTCTTCTATCAAATCCAAATAATTGTCTTTCTGACCCTTTAGATATTAATGTTGTGACCTCTTAGTGGGGTCACGGCCGTACTTCAGGTCTCTGTTTGTTGCATCCTCTGGTGGCAGAGGCCTGATACGCCTTTTTCTGTGATGCATCTAACTTGAACTGAAAACTGGTTTATCCCTTTTCACTCGTTGGACCTTTTTTCAAACTCTATTTTTTATTTTTTTTTCATTTACAGGTCATGAACAATGACGTGTACATATACAATGTATAGGCTAATATAAAATTAAGACCACACCAACAGATTCAAAATAATATAGACAAATATAACACAGCCTAAAAAGTTAAAATAACTACAAAAGTAAAGCCAGGACGTAGACTAAGACAAAGATTAAATAAGAACCCTTAGAAAGCAGTAGTGTTGTGACAGTTTGACTCCTAGGATCATGTTTTTCATCTGGGGTGTCACATAATGGACCCTCACGTTGAATGGAAATATCAGTATAATGAAAACCACAACGCAAAAGTTTTAAGCACAACTATTTCAACAATGCAAACAACAAAAACAAACCACAAAATAACACTGTGCAAACAACTGAAACTGTCCTCTCTCTGGGAATCAGTTCAATATTCACTTAATAGTTCACTTAGTCTAAAAACTAATTAGTTCATAAGCACTTCAAAAGCAGTTCATCCAAAGTAACAACGTAAATTCATTTCAGTCCAGCCAGCAAAAACGTAAGTTCAATTCCTTCAAAATTAAGCGCCAGGTCATCAACACGAAACAAACCACATAGGGAAGAAAAAAACATTTGTCATGCTTAGTTTTGCCTGCTTGCCGAGAATTGCATCCACCTCCAAATAATGCTTTTAAACGCTATAATATTCTTTGTTGGCTTCATCAATGGTGATAAATGATTCAAAGTATATATTTTATGAACGTTTAAAGTCTTTAATATATTAATACACTTAGTAGAAGTACCATTCCTTGACATTCAGTAAATATATGTTGTGATAACTGCGTTTGATCAATGAGCACAGCAACTTGTCTGGGTCAGGACCTAAAGAGGTGGATGCATAATTCGGCACATCCAATGTTGTAGGCTACCTGCCGAGATTTGCATCCACCTCTTTTCAAAAAGAGTGTTTGCTCTTGTTACAACCCAGCTCGTTAGGGTAGGGCAGTAACAAGGTATTTGGGTGAAATTAAGGTGGTAAGGACAACTGAAATCAGGTTGAGTCGAAGTTTAATTAAATGAGTTGTCTCCAAAAAAAACACAACAAAAGGAGGTCAGTACCTACATGCTGTACAGGAATGTAGTGTAACCAAACAAACAATTTTCCCCCTTAAAGGGTGCCACTCACAATCTAGTTTACAAAGGTTTTTACTGACAAGAGTCACTTAAGCCGGCAACCAACAAACAGATCAGATTTAAACACTCAAGACATTCACAGGGGTACACAACCAACAACAAGGCGAACTGATCACTGGCTCACAGTTGCCTCGAACTGCAGGAACACAAACTATTTGTAGGCCAGCTGGTGTTGATTGGTGAGTTCTGGTTGGCAGGTTCGGTAGGATCCTCGGCCACACCAATCAGACGCCAGCAAACAGCAACCAGGAAGTGGGTGGTTCCAGGTCCAGGGGAACCAATCCTCGACAGGTGCTTGCCATGGGATTTGCATACAGCTCAGAGAACTCCAAAACACAACTACTCTAAGGCAGCCAGCGGCGGCCGTAACAGCTCTGCTCACTTCGCTGTCCTCCAATATTTAGACATAGGCTATATAAAATATAACCTAGATAAACCAACATCAGATGTAATGGAAATTTGCCCTTTAGTGAGTCTTCTGAAATAAAGAGTCCAATCCAGACGTCTTTTAAGGGTTTTATTCTTTGCAAAGGGTCAGACAAACATACAGAGTGCAAAACAGTCTGCAGAGTGTAAGACAAAGAGCCAGTGAAGAAGCAGGTGACTTTATACTGTAAGGGTATTACGCAGCTATCCAAGGGAGGAAGGGAGTAGGGACCAGCTGTCCTGAGATGAAGGCCTATCAAGGACGGTCTGATAAGAAAACTCTCTAACGAGCATCTTTCCCATGGAAAACTTCACCCAGCTGTAACATAATAAAATAATAAAATACCACAGTGAAACACACAGTGGACAGTGGTTCAGTTGCTGATTGTGCACGCTTGTTGATCCGTTGTTGTACTGGTGCAGGCACCTTCCTGCAGTGGCTGGCGTGAATCCACGTAGCTCTTTCAGCCACTTTTACCGCTGTGTATGTTGTCAGGAGCACCTTTCCACCTCTGCGCCTTCCAGTGCTTTTCTTCTGAAGTCCTTAACCACCACAAAATCTCCTGGCAGGAGACTGTGCAGTGGTTCTGTCGCTGGAGAGGGTAGGGCCTCTTTAACCTGCCGGTGTAGACGGGCAAGAGCAGAGGACAAAGTCTGGCAATACTTTAACATTCAATCATTCTCACAGTGATGTGTGTCAGGCAGTACTCTGCTCGCTGCCTCTGTCCCTGTTAGTGGAGGGCGGCCTAAAGGAATCATAAATGGGTTCAGACCTTGACCTGGTTCTTATCCTGGTTCTCATCAACACCACCGGCAACACCTCTGTTCATGGAAGACCTGTGTCTTTACAATCCTTAGCCAGCTTAACCTTTAGCATTCTATTCTGTTTCCCTACTGCGGTAGGAAAAATGTTGTCTCAATCAATGTCCATATAAGAGCCAAGTTGTTTTCATGGCTTCACTTCCAAAAGGTGTTCTGTCGTCACTGTCGATTTTGGAAGGCACACCCCAGCATGGCAAGATTTCACAAACCAGGGCTTTTGCTCCAGTTGCAAGTTGGAAAAACTTCTATCCATTTTGGAAACATATATAACAGTTACGTATTGCCTTTGCTTGGGTTTAGCTAAAAACCTCCCTCATCAGGTGGTCACATGGTTCTTCTGGTGGTGGATGTGCCGCAGATGGAACCTGTAATCCTCTCCCTGTGTTGTGTCTTCGGCAGATTGAGCATGTTTGACAGAAGTTGTGAGGGTGTGTTGGGAAACCTTTTATAAACCTGTCTCTTCCTTCATCACAATATTTCATTAGAAGTTTTTATTACAGTTTTACAACACCAGCAATCTGTAGTTTTCTAGGAAGGCTAAAAACGGTCAACAACAACAAGACAGTAATTCATTCACATGATGTTAGTTCAGTCCATTATATGATGACGTCACTCATTTCACTGTAAATAAAAACAAATTATGGCATATTATTCTGGGTGAACCTCTGCTCTGTGTGTGTAAAACAGCCTCTCTGAATGAGTTTCAACCTTGAGCTTGTCTGATAACACATCTCACACACAGACTTGTTCTCATCACATTTCACAGTTTTGCATTCAGTTCCCCCTTTTCTCTGTGGAGGAGAGTTCATGGGCAAAACTCTGGACCATGTTTTAAAAAAAAAAAAAAGGAATTTAAACAATAACATCAAACAACAAGGAACGAGCAGGCAGCATTCTTTTCCTGTAGAAATGGCGTCAATCTGTTAACGTGCATCACATTTTATCATCAACATGGCAGCAGCACAAAAAGAAACATCCAGCATTACATAAAAGCAACAGACACAGCAAGCAACATGACAATAAGCACCGGGCATCTAGTCTGCTTCCAAGATGTAGTGTCAAAACAGGTCATGTGATCGTCCTTTGGTCAGCAGCCTAAGTAAAAACGTAGGTCATGTGTTTGTAGTATCTGAGTACAGGCAGACTATAGAGAGCCGTTTCAGTCATCTCAGCTTTGTCAGTTCAAGTCAGTCAAGTGCACTGTTAGTTTACCATGAATCATGGGAGAAAGGTTTCTCTCTCTGTTCATTCTTTGTCAGTAATGGGATCCCTTGTCCATAAAATCATCATCACCTTCTTTATGGGGATTGGTTTTGGAATAGATGAAAAGGCTTGAATGCATTGGGAGAGAGAGCTTTACTCTCATCGTGAT